AAAACCCACAAGGGGGGAAAAACATAATTAAAGAAACATGAACAACACTGAATACTCAAAACACCACCAACTAGGAACACACAGACCAAACCAGGAAACATCTGACAATGAACCGACAAACACTGCAAACAAAAGGAGGCTTATAAAGGGAACAAATCAAGAGGGAACAGGTGGAACAACTCAAACACTAATCAGGTAACGAGGGGGAGAGATCAGACAATGACACGAGCACATGGCCCAAAATAACAAAACACCAATGTGCAACACAAGACAGGACAGGCATGTGACATTACCCCCTCCCTACAGAGCGGCTACCAGACGCTCCATCAGGCGGGACGGGAGGGACAGACCAGGGTGGGATGGGAGTGACAAATTTTTTAGTCCTGGGAGACCTGGGCGAAACACAAAGTTCATCGGGCGGCCAGGGCGGAGCAGAGCCCTCGGGGGGCCAGGGCGGTGAAGACCCTTCGGGTGGCCAGGGCGGTGAAGACCCCTCAGGTGGCCAGGGTGGGGCAGACCTGTCGGGTGGCCAGGGCGGTGAAGACCCTTCGGGTGGCCAGGGTGGTGCAGACCCCTCGGGTGGCCAGGGCGGTGAAGATCCCTCGGGTGGCCAGGGCGGTGAAGATCCCTTGGATGGCCAGGGTGGTGAAGACCCCTTGGGCGGCCAGGGCAGAGCAGATCTTTCAGGTGGCCAGGGCGGTGAAGACCCCTCGGGCAGCCAGGGCGGAGTAGATCTTTCAGGTGGCCAGGGCGGTGAAAACCCCTCGGGCGGCCAGGGCGGAGCAGATCTTTCAGGTGGCCAGGGCGGTGAAGACCCCTCGGGCAGCCAGGGCGGAGAAGATCTTTCAGGTGGCCAGGGCGGTGAAGACCCCTCGGGCAGCCAGGGCAGAGCAGATCTTTCAGGTGGCCAGGGCGGTGAAGACCCCTCGGGCGGCTAGGATGGAGCAGATCTTTCAGGTGGCCAGGGCGGTGAAGACCCTCGGGCAGCCAGGGCGGAGCAGATCTTTCAGGTGGCCAGGGCGGTGAAGACCCCTCGGGCGGCCAGGATGGAGCAGATCTTTCAGGTGGCCAGGGCGGTGAAGACCCCTCGGGCAGCCAGGGCGGAGCAGATCTTTCAGGTGGCCAGGGCGGTGAAGACCCCTCGGGCGGCCAGGATGGAGCAGATCTTTCAGGTGGCCAGGGCGGTGAAGACCCCTCGGGCAGCCAGGGCGGAGCAGATCTTTCAGGTGGCCAGGGCGGTGAAGACCCCTCGGGCGGCCAGGATGGAGCAGATCTTTCAGGTGGCCAGGGCGGTGAAGACCCCTCAGACAGCCAGGGCGGAGCAGATCTTTCAGGTGGCCAGGGCGGTGAAGACCCCTCGGGCGGCCAGGATGGAGCAGATCTTTCAGGTGGCCAGGGCGGTAAAAACCCCTCGGGTGGCCAGGGCGGTGAGGACCCCTTGGGCGGCCAGGGCGGAGCAGATCTTTCAGGTGGCCAGGGCGGTGCGGACCCCTCGGGCGGCCAGGGCAGAGCAGATCTTTCAGGTGGCCAGGGCGGTGAAGACCCCTCGGGCAGCCAGGGCGGAGTAGATCTTTCAGGTGGCCAGGGCGGTGAAAACCCCTCGGGCGGCCAGGGCGGAGCAGATCTTTCAGGTGCCAGGGCGGTGAAGACCCCTCGGGCAGCCAGGGCGGAGAAGATCTTTCAGGTGGCCAGGGCGGTGAAGACCCCTCGGGCAGCCAGGGCGGAGCAGATCTTTCAGGTGGCCAGGGCGGTGAAGACCCCTCGGGCGGCTAGGATGGAGCAGATCTTTCAGGTGGCCAGGGCGGTGAAGACCCCTCGGGCAGCCAGGGCGGAGCAGATCTTTCAGGTGGCCAGGGCGGTGAAGACCCCTCGGCGGCCAGGATGGAGCAGATCTTTCAGGTGGCCAGGGCGGTGAAGACCCCTCGGGCAGCCAGGGCGGAGCAGATCTTTCAGGTGGCCAGGGCGGTGAAGACCCCTCGGGCGGCCAGGATGGAGCAGATCTTTCAGGTGGCCAGGGCGGTGAAGACCCCTCGGGCAGCCAGGGCGGAGCAGATCTTTCAGGTGGCCAGGGCGGTGAAGACCCCTCGGGCGGCCAGGATGGAGCAGATCTTTCAGGTGGCCAGGGCGGTGAAGACCCCTCAGACAGCCAGGGCGGAGCAGATCTTTCAGGTGGCCAGGGCGGTGAAGACCCCTCGGGCGGCCAGGACGGAGCAGATCTTTCAGGTGGCCAGGGCGGTAAAAACCCCTCGGGTGGCCAGGGCGGTGAGGACCCCTTGGGCGGCCAGGGCGGAGCAGATCTTTCAGGTGGCCAGGGCGGTGCGGACCCCTCGGGCGGCCAGGGCAGAGCAGATCTTAGGACCAGACACCGGCTCGGGAACAGGCGCTGGCTCTGCCTCCGGCTCGGGAACAGGCGCCGGCTCAGGAACTGACACTAAAACAGACACAGTCACAAGAACAGACACAAACACAAACAAAAACGCTGGGTCCTAAACCAATATGAGCTCCGGCTCAGGGACAGGCACCGGCTCAGGGATCGGCTCAGGGACAGGCACCGGCTCAGGGACAGGCATCAGCTCAGGGACAGGCTCAGGGACAGGCACCGGCTCAGGGACAGGCACCGGCTCAGGGACAGGCTCAGGGACAGGCACCGGCTCAGGGACAGGCATCAGCTCAGGGACAGGCACCGGCTCAGGGACCGGCTCAGGGACAGGCTCAGGGACCGGCTCAGGGACAGGCTCAGGGACAGGCTCAGGGACAGGCTCAGGGACAGGCTCAGGGACAGGCACCGGCTCAGGGACATGCACCGGCTCAGGGACAGGCACCGGCTCAGGGACAGGCACCGGCTCAGGGACAGGCAGCGGCTCAGGGACAGGCACCGGCTCAGGGACCGGCACCGGCTCAGGGACAGGCAGCGGCTCAGGGACAGGCACCGGCTCAGGGACACCGGACACCGGCCTCTCCAATATCCGAGCCAGCCGCTCCAGATAGTCCCAGCTCAGGAAGGCAGACGGGACGTGAGCAGTCTCTCGCTGGGCAGACGGGACGTATCCGAATCGCGCAGTGTAATTAACAGAATTACAAAAAATATATTTTGCCTCCTATTTTTTTTGTCACGCATGAATGTGTGTCTTTTCCCTAATATTAAAAGTAAAACATAGATGATATTTGTCTAATGTCTGGAGTCCTTTAAGGAAGTAGCCTATATACGTTTAAATACATTATGTATTTTCTGAGAATTTTTATTTCAAGTTTTGACTGCAAATGTCATGATCATAATGCTGGACTTCCCCAATTTTAAATAATTTATCCTCAACTAGTTTTGTGGTGTAGGTCTACGTATTTTATAATGTTAACTTCAAATAATACTAATAGTCTAATTTAAAGATAAGGTAGCATTGGATCTGGACGGTAAGGAGAATAACGCTGGGAGTTGGAAGAGGTGTGTCGCGATTCTGTAGGTTCGTGGATCTGAGTTGTGTGGCGAATTGCGATTTTGGTTTCATATTGCATATCGTTAGAAGCCCCAAAGTTAAGTTCAACTTCTGTATAGTTATTTTGGTGAAAGTAACTCAAAAGTAATACATGAGTAATGTAACGCATTACAATTCTGAGACAGTAATATTGTAAGGTAATGAATTACTTTTAAATAAGAGTAACAAGTAATACCTAATGTATTACAGTTTGGAAGTAACTTGCACAACACTGGAATTAAGTGATGGTGTTACAATCTCAGGAACAGAGGCGCTGCAATAGGGCAGGCAAGGCAGGCAATTGCCTGGGGCCCTGCATTTTGAGGGGGCTCCCGAGGGCCGATCATTTAAACAATCAAAAATGTTCGTATTAATATAACACGCAGTGACACCGCAACACCTCGGCATCCCACTTAGTCATTCACTCTACGTCTACCCTGTTTATTGAATGGCTGAGAGGAGCAGATCATCTGTTGAACGCCACTGACAGAGGTGAATGAGCAGTGTTTTCCCACGGACCTATCACTTATCTGCTTTCTTTTAAATAATAATGTTTTTTTTTATTTAAACAATTTAGTTTCCTTTCTTGTCTTGTGCCTGTATTACTTTTTTGTCATTCACTATATATCACTCGTTTTACTCGCGTTTCTGTAACCGAAAATCATATCCGAAAATGCATGAATTCATGTATTAAACATGAAGAGGACATATCCATCTGGCAGCCAAAAGCGGAAAAAAACAAGATTAAGTGGAGAAGAGAAAACGATAATGTTACTACTGTGAAAAACAGATGTGAACAGAACAAGGATTCAACGAAACGATTTATTTATCTCGAGTGATCTGTTATCAGAGGTGACTGTTGAGTAATGGATTTCAGAAATGTACAAAAAAGTTTTAATTTCAGTTTAGTTTCACTTAATTTTTGCAAGATTAATTACTAGTAAGTTACACGAGTTGCATAAGATAAAACATCCCAGACAGCAAACTGACATTGAATCAACGTGGAAACGACGTCTCGCATGACATTGAAACAACGTTGATTTTGCTCATCGAATTAACGTTGAACCAACGTCAGACGCGGCATTCTTCAAAGCTAAATGAAAATCGAAAATTGGTTTGCTTTCATAACGTTGAAACAACGCGTTGATTTCAAGTTGATTTTCCGTTAGTTTTGAAAGAATGGCGCGTCTGACGTTGGTTCAACAATTCGATGAGCAAAACAATGTCAGATCAACGTTGTTTCTATGTCATATTTCCACGTTGATTCAATGTCAGTTTGCTATCTGGGATAAGTACTTTAATGTTGTAAAAAAATAAACAATTTGTTCTGTTAGATGTGTTTGACTACTTTTTGTATGTTGTATAATTATATCTCGGGAAACAAAGATATATTTACAAAAAAAACTATTTTAGAAGGGCCTCATTGATTAATTTTGCCTGGGGCCCCCACTCACTGTTCCGCGTCTGCTCAGGAAGGAAGGACCAAAAGCAGAAGAATGCTTATGTTGCACACTTAAAACAGACTCAGTCTTCTCTTTCGAAACTTTATTTTGCCAATTCTGTTGGAATTATTTTTTTTTTACACAAAGCAACACATCTTCACACGTCAGCAATATAGCCTATTTCACTTCACTTGGCTCGAGCTCTCCATATCAAACAGTGCTGGCTCAATGACATCATCCTAACTGAACTTTCACCTTTCAGTTACATCAATCTTTAGAATAATATCCAGAATATTTATCAAATGAAATTACACTGAAATTATAGTGATTTCCCTTACATTATTCTAAACATATTCCTATTCTAGGAAATTATGAAAATAGTACTTCTAGGTCACTTAACTACAATTTACTGAAGGATTATAGTACAGGACAGCTGAGAGGAGAATGATCAGGCAGAGTCCAGGGAAATCAAATCCGGATCGTGAGACGAGAATCAGTGTCAGGATGGTTAGACGAGGGGCAAACAGAACCAACAAGCAAATCCTAAATCACAATTGGAAACAGGCAGATGTTCACGGCAATGCAGACAGAGAGGCGATTGGTATTGGGAAATCCAAACTCCAGCACCAGTAACAGACCAACTGGTCAACAGCAACAGCACAGTTTGGTTAGAATGGATCCTGGAGAGGGACTGCGAATCGCAGCACAACCTGAAAAAGCATGTCAGATAAATAAAAAACTAGACAAGAAAAAAATGGCAGGTGAACAGAAAAAAAGCACAGAACACACTGGCAGAGAACAAAGAGAACGGAAGCGTAGATATGGCATAGAAATCAAGCAATAATGGGAGACAGTTGAGAGCAAATAAACAGGTTGCTAATACAATGCTAAATCATAAATCAGATGTAGACTACCTAGGCCAAAAATAACATACTGATGTCCAGCAATCGATCCAAATAGTACATTTGTGTTTAATGAGATCTAACATGTGTTGGTGCACGTGAAGAAATAAATAGATCTGATCCGATTATTTTTTATATGTATTTTAATGGTCCAGTGGCAGAACTTCTTCCAAGCGTGTCAGAGGTTCTGGGTTCTAACCCGCACTCATATAGTTGTTGTTTTTTCTCATTAAAACCGATTATGTTTATCAGTGGTTGTTTATCAAGCATGAACACGTTTGTGTGCATTTTACTTTGTGATTTCACTCCACTGTCGCTAATTTGGCAACACTAATCACTCCTGAAAAATCCTCTCCCTTTCTGGAATGATGATGTGATGATATTACTGCGCCAAGTCCATAGATACAGTATATACTGTATATGCGCCGCCGAGTCAAAGTGCTCCCAAGGACTTGCTGTGGTATTCCGCAATACATTATAGTTATCCACTTTACACGCTTAGAAAAGTGCACCGTTTTATTTTGCCACCATTGTCGGTCGAGTTACTCCACTTGTGTAACTTAATTTAGCCTAAATAGGGAAAACGTGGAGGTGTTTGGTCGCTTCTCTGCTTGGATCCTAATGAATGAACTGTGCTAAGCTAAGTGCTAACTAAGTGTCTCAACTCATCTTAGTTAAGGGAATAACATAGTTTAATATAAAAAACTGGTGGAGTATCCCTTTAACTGGAGATGTTTTATTTATTTGTATTAGTTAGCCAACATCAGTGCCACGAGATGTTTCAAAAGTGGTGGGGACAATATCGACCCTGGTAAAAAGTGGTGGGGACACGTCTCTGCCGTCCTGCTATGTTAACCAACGTGGTTGAACGACCACTTTGCGACAGTATGGTTTTGGGAAGCAGTCGTGATAGGCTATGCATCGTACTATGGTTGTGAATCGGCGAGTTACGTCGTTGTACGGGAAACACACTCCTGATGCAGCCCGTTCTCATCCTTTAACGTCATATAGAACGCTATATGCAAAAACGCCGCTATACTACGCACATGGCACCCTTTATCGTTAATATAACACGCGAACCCAAGACGTTATAAATCCTTTAGCGTGAATATGACACGCACACCCTACCCCACACCTAAACTTAGCCCTCACAGCACGTGTTATATTAACGATAACGGGTGCCATGTGCGTAGTATAGTGCCGTTTTGTCATATAGCGTTCTATATGACGTTAAAGGATGAGAACGCGTTGCTTGATGTGCACGGACACACATGTAAAACAGAACCAAAACGAGAAGAAAGCAGAAGGAAGATCAAACCTGTGTTCTGACAGAAGAAGGAATAAGGTTCCTCTTCTCTCTGTTCTGCCGTTTGATTATACCAGCAACCGCAATCTGTCATTAAAGAGCATCAAACAAACACTTTGAATTGCGCAATAAAATTGACATAAAGATGATGCTTTAGAGTAGGGGAAATGCGAATTTTCTTTTTTAATCCATGAAATGATAATGCAGGACACATAGACTCTACCGTCACCTCGTTTATCAGTTTCTTACCATTTTTACGATTTTCATGCATCTAAGGACACATCTTCTGTATTTTCTGCTAATTTCTTTAACAATTATTTTTGTCGTTTTTGCTTTTACTGAGATTTTGACTGACTCCTCTGTCATCAAAATGTGAATCAAAACCATAATTCTTACTGTTAGGTGTCTCTGATTCTCCACTGTTGTGTCGCAAAAGACTCATTCCTCCAGACTTCTTCAGTTCCGTCTCCCTCTTCTTCAGTTCTTTCACTCCTTTATCCAGTTCCTTCTCCCTTTTTTCCAGTTCTTTCTCCTTTTTTTCAAGTTCCTTCTCCCTTTTGTCCAGTTCCTCAGCTCTTTTATCCATTTCTTTCGATCTTTTATCCAATTCCGTCGCTCTTCTTTTAAGAAGTTTTTTCTCACTCTCGCTTGACTGCGTGATGTAACATTAAGATTATATTTTTACATCTTTTTTACTTGGTTTCTTTTACATTTTCATTCATTCATTGGAAAAAGCATGGTTTTATCAACTGTAAATGAAGAGTGAATCCAATGTATACATTTTATCTGTTCACAGGAACACTGTGTGTTAAGTTTCAGAAGTGAAAACTGGATTTAAATACAGGAGTGAATCCTCTAAATTCAGAGATAGGCATAATAATTATGTAATTATGTATTATTTCAATTATGTAATAAAAAAGTGAAGCAGTGGTTTTCTATTCCCAACATGCTTTGCATAAGACGGGATAAACAGAACAAATGTTGAACTTAAGTGTTGTTTTATTTGTTTTGATTTGAGTGAAAGTAAAGACCTGTTAGTGTTTATGTTTGACATGTAAAAGAGTTTCTGTTATTTCTCATCCCAAGAAGTCATATAACTGACGTCTTGGGACGTCTTTTGACCATACATCAACATCCGCCTTCTTAGGGTACCCTTAAACGTTGGTTACATGACGATCCCGGGCCGTCATACAACTGACGCTTTACCTTTAACGTCGGTTAGGTGACGGGGTAGGTTTAGGGGTAGGTTTAGGTCTGGGGTAGGGTTAGGATCTGATAACGTCATCTGACCGACGTTTAAGGGTACCCTAAAAAGGCGGATGTTGACGTATGGTCAAAAGACGTCCCAAGACGTCAGTTATATGAGAGTTTGGTTGAGTTTTTGTGGTTACCATTGTCCTATAAAGAGTACATATGAGAGCAAAGCAGCGAACCAATCAATAAGACGCCACAGCAAAAATGGCTTTACACTGTTCTGAGATGTGTTTTATGAAAGCAACATTAGCCAACTATGGTTATCAGCATCGATCAATGAGTTGGTGTTTCACAATACCATAGGTCTAATGAACAATCGCATACAGCATCATAAAGTTGTGAAGTATTGTCGAAATCGGTCCAATGGCGGAATTCGATTCGTGGTGAAGGTTTCAAGCGTGTTCCGTCTTTTCCATGGCAAAGTGATTTTTAATTAAATGCAATACATTTAGGGTGTATTCACACCTGCCTTGTTTGGTTCGATTGAATCGAACTCTAGTTCGTTTGCCGCCTTGGTGCAGACCTTTTGGGCAGGTGTGAATACAGCAATCGAACTCGGGTGCGGACCAAACAACCGAACCGAGACCCAGCTGAAGAGGTGGTCTCGGTACGGTTCCAAACGAACTCTGGTACGGTTCGTTTACGGTGTGAACATGAACCGACCCAATTGCAAGAAAGCACTGCGTCGAAAGAGAATATTGCGCGTCTTCCTGCGCGTCGTGTGTGAATGTATAATCGCGCAAAGATGCAAAAAATAAATCATTTGCAGTTCATAAAGCATTTGCAGTTCACCACCTTTTGGTGGTGGTTGACGAGTTTCCCCCTTAAAGCGAGTGTCGAGAAAAATTCTATATAAATGTAATGAATTATTATTATTATTAATGTAAGGATAGTTACAATACAAGGATGATGATGCGTTAATTTCCGTTAAACTGGACAAACTTAATCGCAAGCGTTGACATTGACAGCACTTGTTAGTACACAATAAGAATCTCATTATTTGAATGAGTGCACATAGCCCCTCTCTATGAATGAAAACTTTATACCTTCTCCGTCTTCTGTGCAGTGCCACTTGTAACGCAAAGTTGAGATGTTGCCCAGAGATTAAAAAAAAACAGAAGGTGGTCGAATGAAAAGATGCACGAGAGACGAGAGTTGTCGTATTTCCCCGCGTTTATAGAGCCACTCAAACGTTACACTCGTCGTCTTCTCAAAATCCGAATTACAACTTCGTATAGATGACATTGTATCATTGATACTCATTAGTTTTTTCATATTGCGTTTGTACAGAATTAACACAAAATTAGTAAAAGAACAAATATTGCAGTATGAAATATATGGAAATATCTCCATGCCTTTTTTGCACTTCCTGATTTCCCTTGAGAATCCTTGTCCAATGAATGGACGACCTTAGCACACGTGTGGTTTGGTTTACAAATTTTGGTTCACTTGCAAAAAGAGCAGTGTGAAAGCGAACCGTACCAAAAAAAAAAAAATAATAATTTATTTGGTCCGGACCAAAGCAAGTGAACTATCGGACTTTCCTGGTGTGAATACACCCTCAATCTTATGTATCAACTCGTTTCATCTGACTCCATAAAATGAAAAGGGTTTATCAATAATATCTGTGCATCATTTAATACGTTAATGCTTTGACTATTCCTTTTAACTGTAATGAAAATAAAGTCAAAGTCTGTTAAAATAGTCAAGTATAATAATTTATTATGTCAGGTAAATGTACTATTACAATTCCACAAGATAATCATTGCAAACCATCAAATGTTTTAGAACAAAGAAGAATCATTTTATCTGACGAGGCTACGCGAGTAAAAACTCTCAGCCTCACGGGCTGATGAGTGCTTCAATCAATTACAGAATTCACAATTCAACCCCATCATTGACTGTGACATAGCCAACAACAACAACAACACACACACACTCTCTCTCTCTCACACTCACACTCAGACGCACTCACACTCTCACGCACACACACACTCTCACACCTGTTGCAAGGAATGAACCTCTCCATTTTTTAACACATTTAAGCATGTTCCAAGTCACTTCCTAGATTTGCATAAGTGGCTTGCATTGGAAGATTCCTGAACAAACACTGATTATTATATACATATGCATTTATTGAACATTATTGTCTTTATTACATGACTTCTTGTCATGGAATCTATTTGGTTGTTTTGAATACACTGACCTCTTGCTGCATTTGCTTTTTATAATTCAGAGTCAGACCAAAAAATATTTTTAAGAATTGGATATTTAATATGAGACATCCTTACCATTCAATACCCTGAGAAAAATAAGAGCACACTTGCTGAAAAGAACATGATATTTTACATTGAACATGACATGATTTTGTTTTGTTGCATTATGCGTTTCTATGCATTTCTTCATGAGTTTAAGTTCATATGTGTTTCAATCGTGAAGTGGACATTTAAGATGCTTTTCAGACGTCTCACAGAGAGCCCATTCACCCACTGAGGTCTGTCCAGACAACCGCACCCCTGGAGCTGACAGGATTGGTCAAGAAGGGACAGATTATCGTTATGGGGGAGGTGCCAGGAACACGTGAGTGTCTTCATGAAGGAACGACACGCCAACTGAAAGTCAAAAGGTCCAGATTGACTCTATGAACTTTTCTCACATCACCAGAAGAAAGCCTGAACGCCTCATCCACCTGCTGGACTCATGCTACATACGCCTGATGAGAACAGGTGTTCTGCAGGTGAACAAAGCCCTCTGAGCATCCACAGATGCTAACATTGCAAAGAGACAATTGTTGAATTACACCAAGGACTACAACAAACGTCTTACTATGTCTGTGACCCCTTAAGTGTCTCAAACTGACCCATGGGGGTCAAGGAGGGATCTGTAAGACTGGAAAACTGGAACTGGTTGATGTAATCAATCTGACCAGTGTCTTCTGAAGACAAAAGGCTTGTAGTAATACATTTACCTGACATAATAAATTGTTATATTTGGCTATTCTAACAGACTTTGACTTGAAGGAATAGTCGAACATTAACGTCACGTGTATTAAATGATGCACAGATATCATTGATAACCCTTTTCAGTTTATGGAGTGAGATGAAACGAGTTAATAAATAAGATTAAATGTATTGCATTTAATTAAAAGTCACTTTGCCATGGGAAAGACGGAACACGCTTGAAACCTTCACCACGAACCGAATTCCGTCATTGGATCGATTTCGTGCCGACTTTACACTATCAACCTGTGGTTAGAAGCATAGTTTCTAGTTTCCATAACATGTGGACTCAATAAATCCTTATCTTGAGCCAAAGCAAGCTGACATTCACTACAGTCTGTGTCTTTTATTTAGAATACATACAAATGTTATTTACGGCTTTGAGTTTGTCAAGAGATTTGAAGTGTCGTTTTCGAAGAGTACGTAGCTAGGCTACTCTTAACTAGTAGGTAGGAACAAGCATATGATTAAATCTGGAAATAGAGACAAAAATTTTTGAAAAATTATAAATAGTCCTCAGATGCCATGTCCATAATTTATAGCAAAACATCTAGCATTAATTTGATCTCAAACAGATTCATTCAAAAAAGGTATTACTCCACCATCTACGTGACATCATTAACCAGCGTATTTGAACAACCAGTTTGGTTTATAGACAGAAGTGACTATATTTTATTTCTTCAACCATGCATCGTAATGTGGTTATGAAGCAGAGAGAGTTACGTCATTGTACTGGAAGGTATGTCAAGGTTATTTTCATAAACAATGACTAAAATTTGATAAACAAAAAAATTTTAATTTCATAAACAAAAACTAAAATTTTAAACTAAAAATAATATTGGTAATTTTTGTAATCAAAAAAAAATAAATAAAAATAAAACCCTAAAACTTAACGATGCTAACATGCGTTACCGAAAAACGAACAGAAATAAAATAACAAGCAAAACTAAAGAATTGTTTTCATAATTAATAATAAGCGCTCGTCCTGTACCGGAAAATCACATTTTTCCATTCCACCGCGCTACTTTATTTTTTAATGTACGACCATAACATGAAATAAAAAGACTGTCAAAAATAATAAGTGCATAAATCCAAACTATAACCATCAAAACATTTACAAAAACAAATTGGTTTCTAACAGAACCTCAGTTCCCTGAGAAGAGGGAATGAGTATTGCGTAAAAATCCTTTTCCTTTTCTTGAGAATATGAAGCAACATTTTTAAAATGCACTGCAGCTGCAACGCAGACACAGGAATGAGCGACTTAGCTCGGTCATTGGCTGCTCTGCGGCAACTGCATTAAGCCTATTGCAGGGCGGCTCAGACGTACGAGCCAAAACGAACACGTGTCAGAACACGAAAAGCGAGGCATTTGAAACAACGCCTTAGGAAGTATACTCTTTTAGAAGAGTGTGACACAACGGTGGACACACTAGAATTTATTTTAGAAAAAGAATATGGCACGTTGGATGGCAGAGCAGGTCAGCGAGCTGAAGGCGGCGTCGAGCGAGTCGAACTGAAGCCTGCTTCCTCAGTCTGCGAAGAAGGTGCTTGTCCCGCGGGAGGTCAGCAAAGTGGAGAGTTTGCTGAAGGAGATCAAATCTGAATGCCTATGGCCGATTCTGTGCTAACACCGCATAAGCCCACGCCCATTCTGGCAGGCTCTGATGTGCCAGGGCGCGGAGCAACCCAATTGGCTCGTACATCTGAGACGCCCTGCTATAGGCTTAATGAGAAAAGGAGTTTTCTTATAGACCAACGCTACTTTTGCATCATCGAAGGGTAACGGCCCTTTTTGGGGGAAACAAATGGATTCCCCTGAGAACAGAACTCTAGATCTGCAAAGTTTCTTGATAGCAAAAATGGCACAAACATACATACTCTCTTTGCTGGCCGAGGACCTTGAGCGGTATTTAAAGATACTACTGGATACGGGGTTACAGAGGTATCCCTTTGAAATGGTTGAAAACTGGATTAATGACCTGACGCCGTGGCTAAATATGGACTATTCAGACATCTAACGTTACCACTATCTCATGGAGTCACCAAGTAAGTACTCTTTTTTTGTCATTAAAACTCACAGTATGACAAACTAGACAATGGGCCATGTCACTTGGGTCATATTTAACTTGATTTAAGCTATTGACATAGTTTTGTTGTCAATTACAAATACTATAACATTACTGTTGAAATAGTGGCAGGTTAGGACTAAAGTGGACTTGGCTGGTTTCTGCTTGTGTCTAGAAAGTGCTAGGACTTTGAAAGTTGTAAAAAGGTTTACAGTGTACGGCAAAATATGTATAGGACCTATGTATGTATGGGGCTAACAAATTGGATGTTGACATTATGCTACCCTATCTACGTTAGCCTTGAAGGCTTTATCTACTGCCATTCGTGTTGTTACATGTACTGTAGCCCAGAACAGTGGTCGTCGAATAGTCATATAGGCCTAAAGCACTTTCTAGACACAAGCAGAAACCAGCCAAGTCCACTTTAGCCCTAGCCTGCCACTATTTTAACAGTAAAATCAGTTAAAAGCCAATTTAGCGTGCCTAGTGAGAGCTAATCATGTAACGATAGCTGCTAGCAGCTTAGTCTTTCTAACTAGAATAGCTAGTCGACAACAGAACTATGTCAATAGCTTAAATCAAGTTAAATATGATCCAAGTGACATGGCCTCATCGTCTAGTTTTTCATACTGTGAGTGTGTTAATGACAAAAAATAGGCTACTTACTTGGTCATTCCACGAGATAATCCACATATAAGAGCATAATAGTAGAAATGCAAGATCATTTTAAGAATACATAAGCTATTGCTGATAAAGGCGCCCATATCATTGAAACATAATCCTGCATGTCAAACTCTTGAGTCAGTCTGAATACACAGGCCAGAATAGCCAAAACATCCATTATTATATTCGCAGGATGACGCATAAAACAAAGGCTGAGTTCTGAATGGCAATAATAGTACAAGTAAACTCTTCTGAATTAAGCTCAATATGTGTGTATGAACAAAAAAGGGTGGAAAAACAAGGACAATTGAATCTTAAGAACAAATGGAAACACCCTCTTGGATAAACTCCACACTCATGCAAGTCTGGAGAATCATGACTGTTAATGAAAAGGGAGGGATTCTCGTTAATTAGCCAAAATCGGTAGAGTACAAAAAACAAACAGCAGCGTCTCAACAGGACTAGCTATTGAACAATGGCAGGAAGTTGGTGTGTTGTTCAGTCTCTGGTGCTGTGTGTTTGGTGCTGTGCTTTCTGTCATGCTGTTCCAAAGTGGAGTAACCTGCCCCAAAGTCCTCCAACTCTGATGTTCCAGCAAACTGACCAGCGGTTTCAACAACCAGTTCAGCAACAAGCAAGTCAACAGTTTCCTCAGTCAGTTCAATGGCAAGCTAATCAACAGTATCCTCAGTCTTTTCAACAGCAAGCTAGTCAGCAGTTTCCTCAGTCAGTTCAACAGCAAGCTAGTCAACAGTTTTCTCAGTCAGTTCAACAGCAAGCTAGTCAACAGTTTCCTCAGCAATTTCAGCCTAAACAGCCAGTGGCACATGCAGAGCCCCTTGAGAAATGTACTGTAGCTGATTATGAGCAGATCCAATGTGGACCACCTGGTATCAGTGGTGCTGAGTGTGCAGCTATTAACTGCTGCTTTAACGGACAGCAGTGTTACTATGGCAAGGCTGGTAAGAGTGTTGAGTCAATGTAAAGTTTCTTGTTAAACTGATCCTCCTCCATAACCAGCTTTTGTACCTTGTTCCAGTGACCGTGCAGTGTATAAGGGATGGTCAGTTTGTGGTAGTGGTGGCTAGAGATGTCACGCTGCCTCGTTTGAGCCTGGATTCAGTCCGTCTCCTGGGTGGAAGTGATCCCGCTTGCAGTCCTGTGGGATCCACACCTTTCTTTGCTATATACCAGTTCCCTGTCACTGCGTGCGGCACGAGCATGATGGCGAGTAGCTGCTTGTGGTTTTATTCTGCATGGCTTAGAATGGACTCTATGCCAACAGTGTTGCTATTTGCAGGAGGACAGTGGATATCTGGTGTATGAAAACAGAATGACCTCCTCGTATGAAGTGGGTCTCGGACCACTTGGTTCCATCACAAGGGACAGCCATTTTGAGTGGGTGATGTATGCTTTAGCATGTTTGTTAATCTTTGGCAAATGCTACAACCTCACTGTTTGTTTTCCAGGCTTCTCTTCCAGTGTAGGTACTCTGGTACTTCTGTGGAAGCTCTGGTTGTGGAGGTCAACACTGTTCCTCCACCTGCTCCAGTAGCTGCTCCTGGACCCCTCAGGGTGGAGCTTAGACTAGCAAATGGTCAGTGTGTCACCAAAGGCTGTGCAGAAGGTAAGTGTTTGACCCGAGTGTGTGCCTAAAGCCTTTCTAAAGCTCCAGGTTGCAGCGGTTTCTGGTTAAACACTGTATTCTGTATTCTTCCTCTGAGGGGACGAGGCGTACACTTCCTACTACAGTGATGCTGATTATCCTGTTACAAAAGTCCTGCGGGAGCCTGTGTATGTTGAGGTGCACATTTTGGAGAGGAGTGACCCCAACATTGTCCTGATGCTTGGACATTGTTGGGCGACATCAACCCCTAGTCCACTCAGTCTACCCCAATGGGACCTTCTGGTCGATGGGTGAGTAAGACCAGTCTTTATCCATCTAGTGTGCAGTAAGGTGTTTCTGATTCCCTCTTTGCCTTTTAGATGCCCTTACCAGGATGATCGTTACCTGACCACATTGGTTCCAGTGACTGGATCATCTGGTCTTCAGTTCCCAACACACTACAAGCGCTTTATTGTGAAGATGTTCACATTTGTTGATCCATCATCACTGGCTCCTCTGCAGGAAACCGTATGATCTGCAGCCTTACCTCAACCCTTAATATTAGTACTTTTTTTTTATTTATTTTTTTTATAGTGAATTCTATGGCTAAACTCTTTCCCCCTCTTTTAGATCTTCATCCACTGTAGTACAGCAGTGTGCCATCCCTCTTCTGGCTCCTGTGAGCAAAGCTGCACTAGGAGAAGTGAGTGCTTGCCGTAAACTGACTTGGGAACCGTGAGAATTTGTTTTTTAAATGCTCATGCTTCTACCACTTTTACAGGAAGGGACACTCCCATCAAGACCATCTCTAGTGGGCAAACTGTGGTGTCTAGTGGAGAAGTTAACCTGGTCATGTCAATTTAATTTTAATAAATTTGTATTGATTCTCAACAAGTCGGATCTTACATGACTGTTCTTGGTTTTATTTATTGGACCACACTACTCAAGCTCCATTTTTGCTTCAACAAGTTTGTTCATTCTGATTAGTGCTTGATTTGAACAAACTTATGCCAAAGCCATGTCACTGAACTACTTGCCAAGCTCCAGTTGCAAACCTAGGTTCCTATGCTTCTATAAAACGCAATATTTTATATAGCAGGGTGCAGACTTTTTCCTCACAGATTATTTTGCCAAGGAATATAATCTAATGGTAATTGCGAATTATTTTTTTTACAATTGTGAGTTTCTTTGAATTGTGACTTACAGAATTTCTGGCAAATAAACTCTGCATATGAGTTGACGTTCTTTTGATTTATGGTCACGTGAAAGGGCCATAATTTGGATAAAAGAAATTTCTCAAATGAGAATGTTTAACCATCATTGTGAAGCCCTACTTGTTGTGTGAATGGCTTTTAAATCCCTTCATTGCATTAAAATAATCCATTTCCAGATGTCTTGTGATGCTTGTTCATGTGCATCTACAGACCACAGTGAATGTAGTCAGAGAAGTGAGTCCCAATCTCAGTCACAAACTCAATGTTGGCAGACCGTGGCGAAGCATTGATGATAATCAGAAATATTTCTTGAGCAGCAAATCAGCATGTTAGAAGATAGTGGAAGATGTCTGAACAGTCCATATTTGGACCATTAATCTAGTTTTCGACCATTTTAAAGGGACACCTCTGTAACCCCGCATCCAGTAGCTTTAAGTTTGTGCCATTTTTGCTATCAAGAAACTTTGTAGATCTAGACCGAGTTTTGTTCTGAGGGGAATCCGTTTGTTTTCCCCCAAAAGGGGACATTACCCTTCGATGACACAAAAGCAGCGTTGGTTTATAGCGTAAGCTTGATCAATAGGAGAGATGTCTCGAAAGGGAACAAGCTTACACCAGAGGACTTGTGAATAATGCATCTGAAAACATCAAACAAAGTGTAAGTGTATGATGAAGCTGGAGATAAGTATGTTTGTCTGTTATCTAATTCTAAGTTGATGTGTTTAGCCCGTGTATTTCTTTTTTTCAAAGTAAAACCGCTTTTTGCACGAACCACCCCTAAGAAGCAGAAATGGCCAAATATGTATTTCATCATCATAGACCTTATGCAAATACAGCTGAACATTAATTCCAAGTACGAGATAACCATCTCATGTGAAACTAAACAAGATACCACACATTTTAGACAAGATACCACACTGAGAAGAAAACGGAAAAAATAAATAGCCTTGCATGTCTTGCCCACAAATAGATGTACATTTGTCAAAGTAGAAATAAACTAAATGTCTGGTTTGAATAAAACAAATGAATATGAGTACGATGACAAAAAGCATAAAAGGATTAATACAAGAATAATGTTTGAAAGGATTAATCATAGAGATTAATCAAAAGAATAAACATGCATATGTTTTTTTTCTTATACACCACGTTCAACAAGATTTCATTTTAATAAGAATGAGTATGAAACGAATAATTTTTAATTTTTAGTTTAATTTGTTTGGTTCTTTGTTCAATCTCGAACAATTATTTTCTTTAACTGCAAACATTAAACTTTGCTGGAATTAAATGTCTTTAACTGGAAGTGTAATGCTAAACTAGAAATTACTCTTAAACTTAACAGTTTAACTAAAGAGAAATGTGTTCATAAAATAAAAAATAAAACTCAACTGAAATTTATAGGAAATTTAAAAATGGTGTTACAATAAAAACTAATTTAACCATTTAACTATAAAAACCTTGGTGTGTGTGTTTACTCATAACGTGTGTTGTTCACTAATGGGTTAAATGCAAAGGACACATTCTGAGTATGGGTTACCATACTTGGCCTTCACATGTCACTTTCACATTGACTCAATAGGCAATGACTGCGATTAATATCTTGTTAGCTGTGAATTTTAACAGAAATAGATAAGATAATTGATTATAATAATATATATTAATAATTGATTTGAGGGCTAGAACCATAGACTATAGAATTAGAATACGAACAAGTTGTTTTGAATGGGAAAATGTGCAACGCTCATTTTGGCGGAATAAGTCCCACCTTAAATAAGAGCCAATTGGTAAAATTAGAAGCTCTGGGGTTTGTTTAACGTAACAATGTAACTCGATGCTTCACTACTATAGTACGATGCATTGTTAAAGAAATCAAGCTAGTCACGACTGTTTCCCAAAACCATACTGTCACAAAGTGGTCGTTCAAGCACGTTGGTTTATGACGTCCTGCATGTGGTGGAGTAACAACTTATTTAAATGAAACTGTTTGATATCAAATTAATGGTAGCTGTTTTGACATAAATTACAGACATGGAATCTGATGAATATTTAAATTTTTTCTCAGTTATTTCACTATTTCCAGATTCAGTCATAGGCTCGTTCTTAGTAGAACGCGTTCGCACATGCAGTCTTTAAAAAATGGTGCTTTAAATCTCTTGACAAACTAAAAGTAATGAAATTTGTAGGTATTTTAAATTAAAGACACTGGTTGTACTTGCTTATAAGCTTGCTTATTTGGCTCAAGAAGATAAGGATTTATTGAGTCCACATGTCATGCAATCTAGAAACTCTGCTTCTAGATTGAGATCTTGAAAAAATGTCGTTTTCTGTCATGATTCAAGCCTTTAGAAACAAAACTAATGAGACAGCTGTTGTCAGATTTCATTGGTGATTTCAAATATGAAATTTAATCATAAGTTTTGGAGAATTTGCTGTTTCCTTTTCAAAAAGATGATGCCCAAGTCTTGATGCCAAATTCTGATTTATCTGCCTATATCCGATTTTTTTTAACTGTCTGTTTACACGTTCTTTAAATTGAGACCCATATCCCATTCATGTGCACTCGCAGGCTACAGGCTACCTGAAACATATCAACGCATTCTCATCCTTTAACGTCATATAGAACGCTATATGACAAAACGGCGCTATACTACGCACATGGCACGCTAAAGGATTTATATAACGTCTTGGGTTCGCGTGTTATAGCGCCGTATAACATATTTGCATATAGCGTTCTATATGACGTTAAAGGATGAGAACGGGCTATCGCGCATGCTTAAAGGGTTAAATTATCTTGCACAGACGGACTCAGACGAGAGTTCGAGAGATTTCCACAAAGCATTCGCAAGAACTGAGCAAGAAGTAGTAGAAGAAGAACGTCCTCTTCTCAGTTCTTGCGCATGCGTCGTGGAAATCTCTTGAACTCTCGTCTGAGCCCCACAAGGAAGAAAAGGAATAGTCGAATAAAGTCTTTATTTTTGTTTTGTTTTTCCGCAGAAAAAGTATTCTCGTCGCTTGATAAACTTATAGTTGAGCCACTGTAGTCACATGAAATATTTAAACATTTTCTTCTATGACTTTCTGGGCCGTCAAGTTTCAATCCCTACACCTCTAAAATTTAATTAAAAATATCTTCATTTGTGTTCCGAAGATGTAAAAAGCTCTTACGGGGTTGGTATAGCATGGGGGTGAGCAATTGATTACTCAATTTTCATTTTTGGGTGAACCATCCCTTTGAGGGTAGGCCTATAGAAAAGGTTAAATTTTGCTCTTTATATCATCACCACGATATAGCCTGTATAACTATCATATTACCCAGTCGTAGAAAGCAGATTTGCAAAACACATGACTGGCTAGATGGTCAGCCCTACACATTAGACACATGCCTTTGGTGTGAGAGACCCGGGTTCGAATCCACTGCGAGACACTGTGTCCCTGAGCAAGACACTTAACCCCCTAGTTGCTCCAGAGGCGTGCGACCCCTGACATATAGCAATTGTAATTCGCTTTGAATAAAAACGTAAGCTAAATGAATAAATGTAAATGTACAAGCTTGTTGACAAAACCAAAACACTATTAACTATCAAGACTGGCTAATGCTTTAGTCCATCATGTTAACTGAAAGCAAATCTGAACTGTGTTGTGTTTTAACCTTAATCAACAAGTAGTATTAAACATGGCATCCTAACTTTATTTAAATTCGGTTGTCAGTTCACCTTTTAGTGATTAATCCCGTTCTGTTCGGTAATTTACAGGAGTTCTAACTGCATTCTACAACCGAATTAACTCCCGGAAAATGAAGCATTACTGAACCTGTGATATTATTGCTATTTTAATGTACCAGTTGAGCTGTGTGGTTTAGTTTATTCCTCTGTTATTCCTCCTTTAGTTTAATTAACTGTTCTGAAACACTCCAATTATTGTGTGAACGTTTTGCTTTTATGCATTTTCATTGTGTCATTGTTTTTATTATTATTTTTCACTGATGATCTTTTTACACAGATATGCATCTGCTAAATTAATAAATATAGGCTATATTTAAAGTACCAAATTGAAAGAAGCTGAATTAAAAGGCTATCAAAACAACAACTGCATTATAATGTGAAAAACTTATGAAGTTCATAAGCAGCATAATTATGTTGGTCAAACTTAAATTAAAAATAAATGACTTACATTTGCTGCCCCCATTTTTTCTGAAGTTTGGCGCTGTTTTACACAAAATCTGTAACAAAACCCATTTGAAGAAAGTATAAATGTAACGTCGAGAATCACGACATGACTAAATGCAACCTACACTTTTTGGAGATTGACATTTGGAGATTTTATCTTCTGTAAAATTAAAATGAAGTGAAATTAGGAATGCTGTTTCTGACTCACCAGGATTCCCCCCAAAATGTATGTGTGTGTTAATTGCGCAGTCTCTCTACCGGTGCAGTCAGATGCTCTGCTGAAGCAGATCTGATTCTGCGTGTGTGTGAGCGACTCGAGCTGTCACGTGATTAACGCAAGACTCGAACCCTTTTTTTTTTTTTTTTTTTTTACAGTAGATACTCGATCCAGAAGGATGAACGAACAGCTTATATCGGGAGGTGATGTGAACGTGAACTAACCAGTGGTGGAGGAAGTACTGAATCTCAGGACTTAAATAAAAGTACAAATATCCAGATAAATATTTACTTTAATAAAAGTAGAAGTAACACAATGACAACCATACTTAAGTAAAAAGTAAAAAGTACCTGATTTTAAATGTACTTTTAAAAGTAAAAGTAGGCTACTTGTATAGCCTAATTTATTTTCTTAATGTCTATTTTCTAATGATTATTAAAACATTTAATTCTAACTCATTCATCCTAATACTCCTATAATGATGTTCAATAATTAGCTATGGAAAAAAATTGTTGTCACCATTTCTGAAACAAGCTTGCAATTAGGCAATATGCACATCATGCTTATCCTTACTATATGTTAATAACTATGTTTGGCAGTAAACGCGATTAATTTATGGTGTAATTCTGAACCTCTTGGCTTGCCATAATCCTAACCAAACGAATATTACACACAGTGCATTTCCTATGCACGTAAAAACTAATTTTCGCGTATAAATTGCACGATAAACCAAACGCACTGCGAGATTTAGTGTGACCGGGTTGATATATCTATGGCAACCAAACGTCACTGGTGAGACAAACGTGCAACGGTCAGATTACGTTTTGTCAGGGGAAAAACTGATCAGAAAATGTAACGAAAAAGTAACAGAAGTTGTAGAAATGTAGTGGAGTAGAAAGTATAATAATTGCTGCAAAATGTAACGAAGTAAAAGTAAAAAGTATTCACTATTTATTCTACTTAAGTAAAGTAAAGATACGTGAAAAATTTACTTACGTAAAGTAACAAAGTATTTGTACTTCGTTACATTCCACCACTGGAACTAACAGACCGCATACATAGCCTGAAGACCCAAATAAGCAATGATGAATCGTTCTCAAACTTTTCTTATTCTAAATGTGATAAACATTTGATGTGTTTGGGGAATTTGACTGGTAACTTTTAATGATATTCTGCTGAAATGAATGACCTGAAAAAAAGATTCGTTCATTTTGATGAATGTGATTCAAAGATCCGAGTCAGTAAAATGATCCGAACTGCGAGGCAGAGATGGATGGTACACCTATATAGACAATAATTTTTAGCAGTGTTTATTTTTTATTAGCCTACTTTTTAATAAACAATATAATAATGAGGAGTGGTTTTGATTGTAACAATGATAATACCATAGCTAAATGTTGCTGTTGATTATGTTAATAAGTTTCACACTTTTTTGTTAACGTACAGGCCCAAGTCATCTATCATCGGCATACTATTTATTTACGTCCATGATAAACATTATTTGAACTTACCCATTTCAATATCGTCACCATGTGCTGTAAAAGACAAAATATGTGTTGTTAATTAACCCTTTCATGCATGAATTATGATAACCTAAGTCAGGATTTTTTTCCGTTGTGTTTTTATTGCCCTTAGGGCATGAAAAACAAGATTTGATTTGATTTTTTTTTTTAAACAAATTTTTCAAAGAGATTTTATGATGTCCACTTGAGTGGACAGCATGCATTTATAGTTGAAACTGAAGAGATACTGTATTAATCATAATACAATAATCAAACAGATAAATTATGTGTATTTAACAAACTAATCAATACAATTACATCAAATCATGTGAAAACTGTAAAATATATAAAAATATATATATATAAATCCGAAATATTGCAAAGGCAATTGACCTGCATACAAGTTGCACTTCGTGTATCTTGGATATCAGAACATGATGATGTGATTCCATCAGAAATGTCTACAGCCTGTCAATGTACAATTGTGGAAACACTCAGATGCTCCCTCCAGTGTGCCAGAGTATGTCAATTTACCCTTATTAGCTGATAATTCTGATTATGTTAGAGATGGACACATTTCTAGCATAGCCTCTTCTGAGAAAACCCAGTGATACATTTTTTTTAAATCTCATCTGAAATGAGCAGTGTTGGGCCAGGCATAACGCATTCAGATTATTTGGTTGATGTTACAAGGAAAGTAATGTGTTAGAAGTAACATGCATTACATAATCAGATTTGTTTTAATGTTTCGAGTAAAGTAATGTATTACAAGTAATATGCATTACCTACTCAGATTACTTTTTGATCTAACAATTAATTACAAGTATTGTGCATTACGTAATCAGATTACATTTTGTTGTTACGAATAAAGAAACGCATTACAAGTAACATGCATTACATAATCAGATTACTTTTTGATCTAACAAGTAATGCACTACAAGTAACATGCATTACATAATCAGATTAATTTTGATCTAACAAGTAATGCATTACAAGTAACATGCATTGTGTAATCAGATTACTTTTTGATGTTACGAGTAAAGAAACATAGGTAAACAGATATTTTTTGATCTAAGAAGTAATGCATTATGTAATTAGATTACTTTTTGATGAAATGAGTAAAGTAATGCGTTACAAGTCACAAATTATGTAATTACATAACTTTTTTAGCCGTCAATGAAAATTACATTCTAATAATACAACTACATTTATTTACAGTCAAAAAAAGTTACTGCAGATTAAGTATTTTCAAAAACAATATTCACAGTATAAGTATAAATTGTAGCTAAAATATAGCCATCGATGCATGAGGTCCACTAAAGTGGACGGGTGATTTATCAGATTTTTCTCCCAATCTAAAATCAAAACTTGGAAAATTTTACTGTGATATGACTCATTAGATACTGCTTGATGCTGCAATATTTTTTTTTACCTACAAGAGTGTCCTAGGATAGAAGGAATGGGTGGATATTCCGGAGCACCTTGGCATGTCTGACTGGCCATTGGCCATCTTGGTTTTGAGGGGGAAAAAATCAAAACTCAATGGCTTATAACTTTGTTGCAATGCATAGGATGATGCACCAGGGTCCACTGAAGAGATTGATGTGCAACTTTCCCATCAAAACCCTTGCAAATTCAAGAAAATGCTTTTTAAATAGCTGTCCACTGTAGTGACCACTATGCATGAAAGGGTTAATTTCACAAGCCGTCTAAAGTGAGTGTTGAAAGTTGACTGACCTCTGCTTTTGAATGATTTCGCCATTCTGCATATTGAACAAAATATTAAATAAAACAAAACAAAAAAAAATCCAGTGATTATAAAAAATACTCAAAACAAACGCTGTTTAAGTTCTGCAAATACTCTCGAGTAGGAACTTCTAAGTGGAAGCGATAGAAAGCTGTTCTATTCTTACCGCAGAGAGCGACATACACACGTCTAACCCAGAGCCATGTCTAACCGAACAATGCAATCCTTTACAGTCTATGGTAGCAATATAATTTAGTTTATTGATCAAATGAGAAACCAAGGAAAAACATTTAAATTATATTTTAATGTCTTACCATCGCAGTTAGAAAACAACAATTTCAACGAAATAAGTGTAATAACAATTAATGAGTAAATTTAACACGTAAAATTAAAAGGTCTAAATAAATTCATTCAACTCTGCTGTAGAATTTCTTCATTCACTTACTTATTAAAAGCATAATTAGAGCATGATCATAGTTTGAATAAATAACGTTTTCACTTTTGACCTCTGACGACAAAACACAATATATGATATTCACAAAGAACAAGAGGAATGAACAGTTAAATCTGAAGTTATATGAACAAACATTGGAAAGTGTACCTGTTTTTAAATATCTTGGATTATGGTTTGATGAAAAACTAACATGGAAGTGTCATATAAGTAAAATTGAGTCAAAATGTAAGAAAATCTTAAATTGTATGCGTACGGTTGCTAGTCACAAGTGGGGAGCTAGCCGTAGTGCATTGTGCATGTATCAAGCATTGATTCGTTCTTGTTTTGATTATGGATGTATTGTATATGGTTCAGCATCAAAGTCATTGCTGAAAAAATTAGATATAATTCAATCTAAAGCATTAAGATTATGTTGTGGAGCAATTAAAACATCCCCTGTAGATGCAATTGGAGTAGAAATGGGAGAGATGCCTCTAGATATTAGAAGGGAAAAACTGGCAATTACATACTGAGTAAATCTCCAACAATCAGCAAATAATCACCTTACTCGCAAAGTATTGGAGGAGTGCTGGGAATACTCATATGATGAAGGACACAGTTTTGGATGGAAGAGTAAAATATGGGCTAAGGAATGCGGCATGGACAATAAGATCTTCTGTCCCAATATACCAATTACTGATACTCCACCTTGGAAAGTCCCTGAACCGCTTGTAGTTTTGAGTTTATTAAACAAGACCAAAGAAGAGTACATTGGAAAGGAGATTAATGCCTTTTTAAATAACACATTTTATATAGTATTAAAAATATTTACAGATGGTTCTAAGGAACCTATCAGTCAAAAGGTTGGAGTAGGAGTGTTTATTCCACACTTTAAAAAACAGATTAGTTTGAGGTTGACTGATGAGGTGTCTGTGTACACTGCAGAGTTAACAGCTATAATAATAGCACTACAATGGGTTGAACAAGTCAGACCAAATAAAGTAGTCATATGTTCAGATTCTTCTTCAGCTTTAATTAGTATATTACATGCAAGATCAGACAGAGAAGATTTGATAATGGAAATATATTTATCATTATACAGACTGAAAGAGGCTGGAATAGTAGTGTATTTTTGTTGGGTACCAGCACATGTTGGGGTATCTGGTAATGAAGTTGCTGATAAACTAGCAAAAAAAGCGCTAGAAAAGAGAGAGGTGGATGTTAGAGTACCTATGGGGAAAAAGGAGGCAAAATCGATTTTAAAGAGGAAGTTAATAAATAAATGGCAAATTAGATGGGATAGTAGTAGCAATGGGAGGTGGTGTCATAGTATCACAAAGATAGTAGGGAGGGTAAACTGCCAGGGAAGAAATAGGAAAGAAGAGGTTTTGCTGTCTAGGTTAAGACTGGGACATACAGGGTTAAACTCAACACTGGCAATTATGGGATTACATGAGACTGGATTATGTGATGAATGTGGTGTATCTGAAAATGTTTGTCATGTATTATTTAGTTGTAGTAAATATAATATTTTTCGGGATGTGTTATTCAGTCATTTGAAGAATGGAGAGGAAAGAAAGAGTGAGGATATTCTAGGAAAAGGTTTAATGGATAGACAGATATATAGAGCAGTATTTACATTCATATATGATTCAGGTTTGGGATATAGAATATAGTAAGTGTGTAATGTTGAACCTGCCATGGGGGATGAGTGTGGACGGAGGAGCTGAACACGCAGCGCCGGATGAAGCCCAATAAAACCTCTATTGCAGGTATGATAATGAATGTTGATGTGTTTGAGATGATATAGGTAGACAGGTTTTTTTTTTTTTTTTTTTTTTTTTGAATCCAGACTCATCACCCAAGGTTAATTTGCCATCTAGCAGCACAGTAGGTGGCGATAATGCTCCTTAGGAGTTAATCGCCATTAAACAGGAAGAAGAAGAAGAAGACCTCTGACGACGTCATATGGGTACGTGCTCGCGTCTGTGTGATTCGTGCGCGTTCCAGTTGAGGGTGGATTACGTCAGTTGGCTTGAGACGGACACCGATCTGAGGAGAACTGATGAAGGTATGTGTCAAAATTAACAAGATAAACTGAACAAGAATGAAAAATACATTTTGTAACTCAATGACATGAGATTTATGTATTCTATTTGGTCGGTTTTGTTTTTTTAAGGTGGATAGATAATGACTGCTGTGCTGTAACTCCTTTAGCTTATGCTAAAGTGGCTTAGCATGCTACTCCCTTGTTATTTAATTTCTGTTTTAAAGTTAAAATGATTGACTTTTGAAATGAATTAATTGCCTCACTCCAAACAATGATATAGCTCAGTTAAATGTGATTATATTAGTGTTAGTAGTAGTGAACATCCTCAGAGTTTATGGGTGTCACCTTAAATGCAGTTCACCCCAAAAATGAAAATATGTCAAATGTCATTATGTTGTCCCACCTCTGATTTTTGACAGAATAACTTATTGTATGAATTAAAAAAAATGTACTGAAAGTAAATGTTGACTTAACGTTTTCGTTTTGGCCAAACATCACGTTAACAGTGATTTTCTTGATAACAACCGCTTGTTAACTATTTTTGATTTCTCTTCATTCGTTTTGTTTGATATTTATTAATAGATTGCACATCTATATTGAAACTATAGTTTTGTTAATGATAAGGGGACTGATTTTTTATTTTAAGTAGCCTATGTTTGTTCAATTTATGTAAGTTGAAATAAAGTCTATCTCTTACATTAATTTGAGTTCTTTCACAAATTTAAAAGAATTTTAATTTTTTTTTTAGTTAGGTAAGTGACCTTTATTTAACACAAGTGTCCTGGCCAAGGCATCAAAAGATCAGTTTCAATTATATTTACAAACAATAAATGAATTTAAGGTCAATAACATTCACATTATATTCAAATAATATTAGTAATTAAGTAACAAGAACTTAAAAATATTAAATACAAAACTGCTTCCTGCCCACTCATTTTGTATGTCCTGTTAACAGGTGATGTTTTATATGTTCCATTAACAGGTGATCCGCTGAAGGCCGTGATGATGCTGTCGCGTGTCTTCCGGCTTCATGGGCTGTTCGTCGCCTCTCACCCGTGGGAGGTGATCGTGGGAACAGTCGCCGTGACGTTGTGTCTGATGTCCATGAACGCTTTCGTCACTAATGACCAGATATGTGGCTGGAACCATCAGTGTCCCAAAGTACAGGAGGTACACGGATCAACTTTACTGGACTTCCAGAATACATGTTATTATACAGCTCTGTTTCAATGTCCATTCACAAAATCATTGACATAAAAGTTTGTAGATGTCTCTGTATATTTACAGACAAGGTTAATGTCTTTGAACTGTTTTATTGCAATTGAAGTCTAGCTCATGTGCTGTAAACTGTGTGATTGGGAATTATGATCTTTACAGAAGCATAGCTTGCAAGCTATTGTATAAAACCAATGAAGATTGTTGGTGTTGCTCACTTTTTTGTAGAAAATTCAAAGCGGTGACATGATCATTTTAACCATCACACGATGCATGGCCATCATTTACATCTACGTCCAGTTCAAAAACCTTCGTCAACTCGGCTCCAAATACATACTGGGTGAGTTTCTCTCTCTTCAAACAGTCTTTCCGAATCATTTAACAAGATTTATTTCCAAAAAAAATTGGATATTGAATAAAACAAAACAATAAAGATTAGTAGACAATTTATAAGTTAAAAGTTTATCCTGCGGATTTGGATGTTGTGTATATAATTTATGATTGTTCACTTTAAGACCAGGAAAAGTTGTCTTTCATATGTGACTTTTTATAATTAAAAAATGCGTTTATTGTTTCATGTCCAGGTATCGCTGGTCTGTTTACCATCTTCTCCAGCTTTGTGTTCAGCACTGTGGTCGTTCACTTCCTGGGTAAAGAGCTCACAGGACTGAAGTATGACTCGCCCGTCTCTCACATTCACTGTTATCTTTCACTATAGTTTGTATGTAAACTGTGTCCTCGTGTTCCTCCAGTGAGGCGCTGCCGTTCTTCCTGTTGCTGATCGATCTGTCTAAAGCCTGCACACTGGCCAAGTTCGCTCTCAGCTCAAACTCACAGGTACAGAAATATGATTTTTCTGCCAATATAAAATTAAACAACATCATGAATATTCCTTTTGTTTTTTTATTTGACCATTTCTATAAGACTATGTAGTTTCACAATCCTTCCTGAGTGTCAAGACATACACTCCATTTAAATAAGCAGATTAAAAATGATGATGCAAATCAGTAGTTTGTTTTGATCGTCAGTGAAGTGAACACTATAAATAATGATCAAAAATACACATTCCAAAAATGTTTTGATTTGTGATGTTTTATATATACAGTATATATATATATATATATATATATATATATATATATATATATATACTTGTATATATATATATACAGTATAGTATATATATATATATATATATATATATACATAGAGTATACTCACATAAGCTGATATATAATATACAGTATATAGCAAATACTGCTACATGATTTCTTTTTTTTTTTCCATAAAATGTAACTATATTACTGTCCAGCTCTAATCTGCTAAATGCAACTCTAAGCCATGAAGGTATTATAAACATTAACGTCATGATTTGCTGTAAAACTGGTTTAAAACAATGTGTGCTGTGAAAAGTGCTGTACAAAGATATGTGACTTAATTTAATGTGCATCTATATGAATATTGCTATTTGTTTCTACATGCTTCTATGTTGGTGCATATGAATGTAATAATGACGGGTCATGTGACCCACAGGAGGAGGTCCGAGAGAATATTGCTCAAGGCATGGCCATCCTGGGACCCACGTTCACCCTGGACGCGCTTGTGGAGTGTCTGGTCATCGGTGTGGGCACCATGTCTGGTGAGTCAAAGCAGTATCTCTCTCTCTCTTTACTATCGCTTTCCTCCAGAGAAGTTAAAAGCTGGGCTACTATGGTCATAAACCTTGAGAGGGTGTTTTTGTGACCTATTTGTGATTTCATGGTTTGAAAATGTTAAGGAAAATGATAAAATCTTGTAAATTTTTTATGGTGAATTGTTTTTTTTTAACATTTTGCTCAGCTTCGAAATATATTTAGTCATGGAAATGTATTGTGTAGAAGTCGCTTGAACCCTTTAAAATGTCTTGCTCTAACTTTAAACTTCCTGTTTGTACATCTGTCACTATAACAACTTCCTGTCTGATTGCAGGTGTGCCCCAGCTGGAGATCATGTGCTGTTTCGGCTGCATGTCGGTTCTGGCCAATTACTTTGTGTTCTTGACGTTCTTCCCCGCTTGTGTGTCTCTGGTGTTAGAGGTCAGTGTGGCACTGCAGGATTCGTGTCTTGTTTAAAATGTCCCGACTGAACATTGATCTGTGAGTGATTTGTGAATGAGAATTGACCCCAGTCACTCACCCTTGTCTCGTACAGCTGTCCCGTGAGAGCCGTGAGGGGCGGCCCATCTGGCAGCTCAGTCATTTCGCTCGTGTCCTGGAGGAAGAAGAGGGAAACAAACCAAACCCCGTCACTCAGAGGGTCAAAATGATCATGGTGAGTTTGAAAACAACATGTCATACACAGATCTTCAAAAGTTTGGGGTCCGTAAGATCTCTTTTTTGAAAGAAAATCAATAAGGATCCATTCAATTGAATGCAAGTGACAGGAAACACATTTAATGTTACAAATGATTTCCTTTTCAAATACATGCTGTCTCTTTTAAACTTTCCATTAATCAAAGTATCCTGAAAAAATAAAATACATCATGGTTTTCACAAAAATATGAAGCAGCACAACTGTTTTCAACACTGATGATAATAAAAAATGTGTATTGAGAAGATAATCATCATATTAGAGTGATTTCTGAAGGAAATCATGTGACACTGAAGACTGGAGTAATGATGCTGAATTCAGCTTCGATCACAGGAATAAATTACAATATATTAGCATAGAAATTTTAAATTGTAACAATATTTCGCAATATTACTGTTTTTACTGTATTTTAACTCAAATAAATGCAGCCTTGGTGAGCAGAAGAGACTTCTTTCAAAAATGCAGTGGTCACACTCACAACGTATTTTGACAATAATCATTTCTCTTGGCTTTTTGCTTTATGTTTTTAATGAGCTGGTGTCACTTGTGTTGATATTTGTGTATTGTTTTGTTTCACTTTAGATTAAAATGAGGAAGTGGGTTTTACCTGTTGTTTTGTCTGTGCTTCAGTCTCTAGGTCTGGCTCTGGTTCACGCTCACACTCGCCTCGTGACTGAATCTCGGACACACAACATGAGCAGTTCAGACGTGGATCTGCCCACACCCAACATGGAGTCCGACAGGACCATGTCCAGGTACCAGCTGACAAGCAGAGCGTATGTTGCTGAGATTCCCACAGGCGTTTTTAACAGTCTTGTTGTTGTTCTCAGTGTGGATTTGGAGCAGGTCATCACGCTCTCTCTCGCTCTGTTATTGGCGGCCAAGTACGTGTTTTTCGAGCAGGCTGAAACTGAATCCTCCCTGTCAATCAAATCCCCTGTGGCCACGCCCAGCTGCGCTCTGACCAATAGGAGAGCAGAAGAGGACCGCTGTCAGAGGGAGTCGGCTCCGCCCAAAGCCCTCAAGACGGTCCAGACCAATAAAGGTGAACCTGATCTTCTCTAATTTCAACTTTTGTTCATTATTTCTGCTTGTTGATTGATTCATTATTTTATTCTTGTTTGTTTTGATTTCTGTTGTTTATTAATATGTTCCTTCTTTAATTTGTTCTTTATTTTAATCTTGTTTATTATTCTGATTTATCGCTCTGTCAGATGGAGATGGACAGCACGAGGAGGAAGAACTGGACGAGTGTCGTGAGCTCCAGTCTCAACAGCGCCGCCCTGTGGACGAATGTCTCGCAATACTTAAAGACCCCAGAGTAATCAATCTATCATGTGTTCACTGAATGTGTTCTAGCTGCTTTAAAAAAAGTTATAACTTAAATTTATTTGTACATAAAGTGATCTTTAAGTCAAGTCTCTCTCTCTCTTCTTTAAGAGAGGAGCTCGGTTCCTGAGCAACGCTGAGGTGTCGTCATTGGTGGAGTGCAGAGGGATTCTGGGATACCGTTTGGAAGCAGTGCTGGAGAGTCCCGAGAGAGGCGTGGCCGTACGCCGAGAGATGCTCTCTTCTAAACTCTCAGACTCGTCAGCGCTGGAGAACCTTCCCTACAGACACTACGACTACTCAAAGGTGCTGCTCACCATCTGCTGCGGAGATGCAGTGTGTGTGTGTGTGTGATGGGCTGTTTAACTCTGTTTAACTCTGCTTCCTCATTCTCAGGTGATCGGCACTAACTGTGAGAACGTGATTGGCTACGTGCCTGTGCCAGTGGGCGTGGCTGGACCACTCCTATTGGACGGGAAAGAATTCCACGTCCCCATGGCAACGACGGAAGGCTGTTTAGTGGCCAGCACCAACCGTGGATGCCGAGCCGTCACAGTGAGTCTTTCGTTTCATTTATTTTCTCTTTATTATTTCTTAATTCTTTTTTACGTTTTGTGTTTTTTTTTTTCATTATTTCTTCTACTTTATGTAATTACAAGTTACTTCATTCCTACACTTGTTTGTTCCTTCTTTTCTTTATTTATTCATTCTTTTGCTTTAATATGTTGTTTATTCATTTGTTCTTCCATGTGTTATTTATTTTCTTGCATTGTTGTATTTCCTCGTATCTCTTTTGTTGATCTATTCATATTTTTTATTTTGCACATTATCTTTCTTTCTTTCTTTCCTAGTTTGTTAGATCGTTTGTTCATTCTTTATTTGATCTGTCATGCACATATTAACTCCTTTTTTTTTTCGTTTTTATAATTTGGTTTCCAGTGTTTATTCATTTCTTTGTTTGTTCTTTCTTAAATTTATTTGTTTTGTTTATTTATTTCCTTTAATTTGTTCGTTTATTCGTTCATTATTGTTTTTCTTCTTTTTTACATTCCTTCCTTCTTTCTTTCATTTTTTTATTTTCTCATTTTCATCATTATTTCTTCTTTTTTCATTCCAGCTTGTTTTTTGATGATTCATCCATTCTTTGTTTATTCGTTCTTTGCTTTGATTTGTGTTGTTTATTAATTTGTTCATTTGATAATTAATTGTTTTTAGTCAATGTTTACTAGGGGTGTAACGGTACATGTATTCGTATTGAACCGTTTCGGTTCGAGGCTTCCGGTTCGGTACGCATACAAACCGAACGATTGCTTGGACCATTTTTCCTGCCGGCAAAATTCGTGCTGACGCGGCCAACACAACGTTGCGCAACATCAAATGGCAAGCGTAATGAAAGCAGAACGAAACTGCGCTACTCGTTATGTGCTTCACTGATCGTTTATCAGTTCGGACCAGCAACATCTGTGCAGCGCGAGCCGATCTCGATCAAGCAACACTGTTACTACACAGCGCTAAGAGATCCGGTAAAGAAAACATTTGAATTCGCCACTGAGGTAATAACATCGCTGCGAGATTTAGTGAGATGCATTCACATTTCTCCGTTATTAACCGCAGATCTCTATTAGATCAAACAGCGCTGTCATGGAAACCAGGAGAAACATTGTGCCGTGAATGAACTAATACTTTCGTCCACAGACCAGCAACATTCACCATGGATTTAATATAGTAACACTAACTGGAACCAGTTTGGCTGGAATGGTGAAATGCTTTCAAGTACTTCACACATCTTTTTCCAGCACTTCAAAATTCAAATATTATATAAATAAACATATATTTAAATGTTATTTTTAATGTGATGACCAAAACATTATTTGTTCATCCTTCAAAGATGACCCCTATTTATAAACCTGAAAGTTTCAAGATCTAGGAAAACTCACACTTATTTAAAAATATTTTTTCTTTAAACAAATAGGAAATTTCTCTGGCATTTCTTTCTTTTTGCTGTATCGAAAACGTACCGAACCGTGACTTTAAAACCGAGGTACGTACCGAACCGTGATTTTTGTGTACCGTTACACCCCTAATGTTTACTAACTTGTTTGTTTGTTCTTTCTTTTGTTGCTTGTTTCTTTCCTTCCATTCGTTCATTTATTGTTTTTCCTGGTTTCTCTCTTTCGATGTTGTTCTTTTTTCTTTTGCACATTCATTCTTTCTGTTTCATGTAGAGCATTTCTTTCATTTTTTTTTGTTTAAAATAGAGATCACGATTCTGAATAATAACATAATTTACTAGAGGTTTTGAAAAAATGTTAATTGCTGCAGTCTATTTAAATATGTTTAATTCATTTAAATGAACTATTAAAAAGGAGTGAATGATTCAATGACTCACTCAGAAAGAATCTTTGAACAAATCTCTTTAATAGTCACATTCGTTGCCACCTACTGGTGTAACAGTGTAATTGACCCCGTCTTTATTTAAAGCATCATTACTTTCTAATATTTAGCTGGAAAAGACTGTTTGTGAAGCAGTTTCCTACCTATACATGACAACTGCTCTCTCTGGCTCAGCGGCAGCGTAAACGCAGATCTGAATGTTCACTGTGACCGTACTTCTCAAAGCTTTTATAGACACAGGAATGAGATTGTGATCTTTAAACGATTAATGGTGCAGCTCTTCATGTTTTGTCTCTCTCTCTCTCACTGTAAGTGTCAGTCTCCTCTAACAGAGTGTTTGTGTGTGTAGCTGTCAGGTGGCGTGAGCAGTCGAGTTCTAGCGGACGGGATGACCCGCGGGCCGGTGGTTCAGATGCCGTCGGCGTGCCGGGCGGCCGAGGTCAAGGGTTGGCTGGAGAGTTCTGAGGGCTTCAGTGCCGTCAAACAGGCCTTCGATCACACCAGCAGGTCAGAGGGCAAAGGTCACACACAGAACGAGCCTCATACAGCACTGCTATGGGAATTTCCAGTGAAAACTTGAGCTCTGTGTTCTTCAGGTTTGCTCGTCTGGACCGGCTGCAGGTCAGTTTGGCCGGGAGGAACCTTTACGTCCGCTTCCAGTCTCAGACCGGAGACGCCATGGGCATGAACATGCTGTCAAAGGTGTGTGTGTGATGAAGCAGATCTGTGTGGGTCAGAGTTCACCGAGCATCTCAAATACATGCCGAAACCTTTTACTCCAGTATTGACTTAAATGCACTACAAGTCTAAAGTTTTGGGATCAGGAAGAATTTTAGAGATTTTAAAATGAGTCTCTTCAGCTTTCACTGGCTGATAAAAATACACAAAAAGTGAAATATTATTGCAATTTAAAACAGCTGTTCTCCATGTGAATATATTGTCTAATGTAATTTGTTCCTGTGATCAAAGCTGTATTTACAGCATCATTTCTCCAGTCTTCAGTGTCACATGATCCTTCAGAAATCACTCCAATATGATGATACATTATTTGTTTGTTTTTTTGTTTTGGTTTAATCAAATAAATGCAGCCTTGTGAGCAGAGAAGACTCCTTTTAAAAACAAACACAAACATAAAAAATCGTTCAGATCCAAAACTTTTGACCGGCAGTGTGTGTTGTGAAGGTTTAAAGTTGCAGTGTCTGTGTTGGTGTGTGTAGGGAACAGAAGAGGCTCTGAGCCGACTTCAGGAACGCTATCCTGACATGCGTCTGTTAGCCGTCAGCGGGAACTTCTGCACCGATAAAAAACCAGCCGCCATCAACTGGATCCAAGGCAGAGGAAAGTCCACAGTGTGTGAAGCCATCGTCCCGGCTCGAGTGGTGAAAGAGGTCAGCCTGACTGAAGAGCACGAGACACTTATGCTCCTCTAGGGGGCGTCAGAAAGCTCTGTTTCACTTCAAGTGTACAAATGTCTGTTGCACAACCTTCTCAATCTGTTCAGTGCAAGAAACACTAATGGAAATCCACTCGACTGATGGAATGCAGTGATTTCTCTTGTAATGTGTGTGTGTGTGTGTAGGTGTTGAAGAGCAGCACTGGCGCTCTGGTGGAGCTGAACATCAGTAAGAATCTGGTGGGATCAGCGATGGCCGGAAGCATCGGCGGATTCAACGCTCATGCGGCAAACATCGTAACGGCCATCTACATCGCCTGCGGACAGGTGTGTGTGTGTGTGTGTGACATATTAATACTTATATTCCTGATCATATAATTTAGTTATTCCTGGTCATAGATCATATAGTCCATGATTCATCAGTGCATTTGATTGTAAAGAACAAAATGAACAATCTTACTTGATTATCTGTTCACAATCCAGTGAAAATTCCAGTGGATACATTTCTGTTATAATTAAGTGCGATGGACTGACATGTATTTAAAAAGTACACACACACATATAGGCTGGAGACAAGAAGATACATCTAAACTTGTTTTCTATTATTAATACACATATTTTTAATCATATTGTGTGCCATTCAAAATATGGTTATAATAATATTAATATATTATATATTATTAAATATATATTTATATATATATACATACACACACATTTATTATAATCAATAATTATTATTTGTATGATGATTAATTTATAATATAATGTCATTATTATTTTATTATCAGTAGTTTGTCAATATCTCCGTGTTGTTAAGCACTTTGATTCGCCTTGTTTGCCGTTTTTAAATTAAACAAACTTGAAACCTGAGTAAAGATATCACAACATAGAAAAACATATAAAATTAAAGCTGCAAGCAGCATTTATCGGTGTTCAAGCAGTTCAGGCCTTTAAGCACAAAAGCATCGAAAGGCATTCAATTTTATTTAACATGCATTTATCCACTGACATAACCCCGATTGGGCAAAAAACCAGGGACTAGTTCGCAAAAGTGGGTTTCGGACAAAAACCGAAATAACAATTTTTGTTTTGCTCCAAATGGAAATCCGAGATATACATCTTGTCCGTCTTGAGCCAGGGATTACAGTGGTGTAAAAACATTGAAGTCAAAACGGTCTAGGAGTTATGAGCAATTTAGTACTTTTGGCTGCTGTAGCGCCACCTACGGGCCAATCGGGGTCATACTCTGATAGCTTCTCCACAATTCGAGGCCCTACCATCTGACAAAGTTTCACAGCTCCAGCCCTTACGGTTTGGGCTGCACGATGCGTTTTAGGGGATTTTTTTTTTTCTTTCTAGCAAATACAATAGGTTTTCAGCACTTCGTGCTTGAACACCTAATAAATAATTGTTTCATATAAAGGGCCAATCCCAATTCTACCCCTTACCCCTTCACTTTCCCCTAGCCCTACCCCTTCGCCTTCCCCTTGACCCTTGAAACAGAGTGGCAATGCGTAGGGGTGAAAATATTCCACTACCACTACGCCTCCGTTAAACGTCATTATAAGTCGTCGCTAGCGCCTACGTCACAGGAGATGCGCCGATGTTTATCACAACTTCCAAGATGCCGTCGACAGCTGCAGTTATCTCAGTCGCGTGGGTTACAGCTATTTTCTTGCATTTATCTTGTGAAGTTCGCAGGAAACAACGGAGACGACGGAAATATGTTGCGGGACTATCGTTAGCAAACTACAGTAATTTTAGCGATTTTTTTACAAACATTTCTGTGAAGAAACTGACCGTAAATTAACACAATATTGAATGTAACAGGTAGAATTGGGATTGGCCCAAAATTAAATGTGAGTGCATGTAATTACAGATAAGATGTGATGTGATGTGTGTGTGTGTGTGTAGGATCCTGCACAGTCGGTGGGCAGCAGTAACTGTATTACTCTGATGGAGAGTGTTGGGACAGATGGGGAAGATCTGTACATCTCCTGCACGATGCCCTCACTGGAGCTGGGCACTGTGGGCGGAGGAACCGGCCTGCCCGCGCAACACGCCTGTTTACAGGTAACACACACACTTTCTCTTTCACTCTCACTCACAGACTGTCTCTCACTTACACACACACGCACTCACTCTCACTTACACACAAACAAATACACTCACACACTCTCGCTTACAAACAAACCCACACACTCACTCACTCACTCACTCTCACTTACACCCACACACACACACACTCACTCCCCTCAAGGGTCACTGAGGCACTCAGTGAGATTAACCCGTGGTTTGTGTGTGTGTGTGTCAGATGTTGGGTGTTCAGGGTGCCAGTGCTCAGTGTCCCGGTGAGAACTCCCGAACGCTGGCACGGATCGTCTGTGGGACAGTGCTGGCCGGAGAGCTCTCACTGATGGCTGCGCTCGCCGCGGGACACCTCGTCAAGAGTCACATGACCCACAACAGGTACCACATATACATAAAGAATATTTAAATATGTGTTCATTTGCAATGTCATTCACAAATCAGTATTGCTTTTAAAATACAAATACTATAAATAATCTAGATGTTTTTAAAGTTGTGAATAAAGCAGATTATTAGTGTTTTACAAGAAAAAACTATTTTTCTTTTTTAAATTTTTACATTTCATTCAATGTGTTACCACCATTTCTTAGAAATTGCTTGTATATTTCACAAAGTGAAAATTGTTTCATTATGTGTATAATTTTCCCAATTGTGTAATACATGTATTATTCAATTTATAGCATAAATATATTTATTAATATATTTGGTAATATTAAAAATAGATTTATATTCCATGATTTTACATTGTTTTTCTAAATTTTGCTAAATTGCTAGTGGTATTACAAATATTATTTAACTTCTAATATACTTCATTAGATAATTTTCCATGATATTGTTTTGTCGGGATTCTGAATTTCTTTTACTCTCTAACAGGTCAAAAGTCAATATTAGAGAGACTGAACCGCAGCCCAAGGAAGCTTCATGAAGAGTGCACACCCAGAGAACTCTGGGAAGTGAGTCTGGAGCACCTGACCTGACGTCTGGTTCCTCGTGTGTGTTCTCAGGCCGTCTGGAGGAGCTTTCTTCTGTGAAGCAGCTCATTTTGCAGTCAGAGCGGGAATTATGGGAATTACTAATGTTTTACGTTTGCTATGTGCCTCAATTTTATAAGGCGACCACGAGTTAATGAGCGAGACGCCCAGTGATTGACTGGATCATTGCTCACGTTACTGAATGTGTGCGTTTAGTCTTGCACTACAAGCCAGAACTATCAATTGCTCAAGACTTGTCAAAACCTGGTACAAGCTGATAAAGCCGAAACACGGCGGCGTTATCACTCTGTGAGAATGGGACGTGAAAACAGGATTTGTTTTGCACCCTGGCTGACTAATCATGATCTCAGATCAGGGCTTGATGGGTGATGGTGTGGTTTGGACCTTCTAGAGCATCAGATTGTGAATGAATGTATTTAATTGATGTGTCAAATCAATCCTGCCAAACTCACTGTGACAAACTCCACTGACGGACCTTATAAACCAGGTGCTACTTTAATATAACAAGTCATTTGAGTTTATGAATCTGAGTGTGGATGCTTGCACTATTTGCATTGTGTGTGTGTGTGTGTGTGTGTGTGCACTATTAATGAAATGCGTCTGAATTGCCACTATGACTTTAAAGCCCTTCAGCTTTTCTCAAAAGCAAATCCTTTCACTTTCTGATTAAAGAAAGTGTTGATAAAGCCATATTTGTCTTATAAAGTTGCTTTCTCTCCTGCTAAATTATTGATCAGATCTGCATATTTTAAAATCGTCAGTATTTTTGTTGAATAACTGTTGTAAATGCGTCAAACTGGAAAAATAAACATTAACAGAGTATTATTTGCATTTGATTTTTTTCAAGCATTGTAGTTTTATGTGGGGAAAAATGAAAGAAATGATCAACACAAGAGTCAGCGGTGCAGAAAGATGTCAATCATTTTATTCCTCTCTAAACCGGCAGCGGCGCCGCCTCTATTCACAGTACATGTTGATCCTGACACCTTTAGTGTGTGACGCGTATGTACACACAACATCTGAACCCAGAGGACTTTACATTCAGTGCAAATGCAACTAATAACACACTAGACTGTATTAGAGGAACACACAAGCAAACGCCTCTGTTTTTTACAGGAACACATTCAGCTTTACGGTTTCACTCCGGTGGATTCGTACATTCGGGTTCAGCGAGTGTCTGGAATGTTTAAGTTGTACGAGCGTGACGTTTTGAAAATTGAAAGCTTACCGTAAACACTCGGATGTCGTCGTTGTGCACCTGCTCTTTTTTTTTTTGTCCTCTAAAGTGTCTTTAACAGTCTATCATGTGACAAGTTGACCAATGAAAATGTTGAGCAAAAAATGTAAAAGCTCTCGTCATTCTGCAGTTACTCAGTATTTTTGTCTTGTTTTCCAGCACAAATATCGACACATTCTTAAATCAAGATGTAGTTACTTGAGACACAAAACGACTTTAAAATGAATTAGAGTTTATGCAAATATCTCAGAGAAACTTAAAACAAGACGAAATATCAGCCAAATAATCTTTGAATGAAGCATTTCGATTTTTTCAGAAAACAAGACATTCATTCAGTCATTTTTCAAGTAAATGCATCTCTATTTAAGAACGTTTTGATATTTGTACAGGAAAACAAAACAAAAATGAATAATTTTTTTGCCCGTTTGTGGCCTGTAAGATTGTTTATGAATGCTTGAGATTAAGTTTTTACTTCAGGATCAAGAAATAAATAAACTAATTCTACCCAATCAACAACTACCAAATTTCAACCACATATCTCCCTATTGGATAGAATTTTGAAGTGGCATCAGAGCTTCTCCAATGAGAAGACACTTCTCTGATGACGTTTGCTGATTGCAAAATCACGTTTAAATAATAAAAGGTAAAAAAAAATCTATATGAAATGATCTCTGTAGAAACACTAAAGGATGCCTGGGTCGTGGCTGTGGTTTTCATATAATAATAACAACGTGGGCGGTACGAACAGCAAGACGTACCAGATCAATAATGAGGCACTTTCTAGAAATGTTTCGAGTGCAATACGCACTTCTCATCGCTCTCTCTCTTTCTCTCTCACACACACACACACACTCACACACACACACTAAGGCATATGGAGTTGGATTAGTCAGGTAAAAGCATCGACTGACGATCTCAAGCAATAATGAAATTATTTACAAATAATCTGCGCGCAAAGTCCGTCCGACGTATTAAAATCGTTTGCCTGTCGCGATGGATCTGTAATTGTGCTACGGTACGTCAGCTGCTGACACGCGGATATAACTAAAGATTACACCGTGGGGGAAAAGAATCGTCCATACCAGCTCTTCGTCAGCGTCAGATTCTGCGCTTCATCAAAGAGACGGCGAACGTCGAGACGAAAGGCAGGTCCACAGGTCATTCACAAACATGCCTACCATTCCATACTGAACGATGACGATTATACGAGGACAATGAAAGCAAAGCTGAAATGTTTGTTCTAAACAGAAAAACACTAATAATCAGGACTAAAACAGCCGGTCTCGTGTGTTCAGCATCAAAACTCTCTGATATATATATATATAATTCCCATCTCACTTACTTACATACATACATATATATACTTGTCTCAATATAGCCCTCTGGCAGAAACACGGGCCTGTGTGAACTAGTGTGGCGCTACAGAAGGGCTTCAAGCGTCTGCCGGTGGGCCACGAGTCTTCTGTGTGACTGCAGGAGTGTGTGGGAACTGGACGCGCTCAGACACACTGACAGCAGAACTGCAGAGGACAGATCAAAAACAACCATTAATCATCTATTACACTATAATAACAACATATTCAATACATAATAACATTAACACGTTACAATAAAGCCCCAGTAGTTAAAGGTGCAGTGTGTAATTTATAGCAGCATCTAGTGGTAAGGTTGTGAATTGCACCCCACAGAAGTTACGGTGGCCGACAGGAAGCAGAGAGTAGCCAGTTAAGGCGAGACACGGCCGGCAAAAACATCGTTTTTTTTTTTCACTTTGTCTTCAAAATCTTCTTTCAGACTTGTGGTGAAAAAAAGTCTGAAATACACATTTAGGTCTTTATTTTACTACACTTACTACTTGTATGTTTGCGTCTGTAGATTTCTCATAAATTCTTCAAAAGTTGTCGTTATAAATCATCCTGCTGCTCAGCGATCTGCACCCTGTCATCACACACACACCGTTAGAAAGCTCTCTTTCTCCTGTACAACGCTGTCGGATCCAAATATGGTCATTTCCTTTTTATCAGCAACCAATCGTGAAAGTAAAAGGGGGGGATTTAACTCTAAATGTGCGATCTCATTGGCTGATGCTAAATCTTTAAGGCCAGTTTTCTCAAAATGACTTTTATCTCATACTCCAAGTACGAAATCTCCACTTCAGTAGCACCTCTATACACCAAACTTTCCAGTCTTGTACCTAGTTATATTATGAAGACATTTACTGAGGGATTTGTAAATATATTATTCCTAGCCTGATTTATATAACATTTTATTCCAAAAAACATATATATATATTCTGTGTAAATATATGAAGAGTTCAGATGCAAAAGCCTCTAAATGCCATTTGAAATTTTCTTCTTTAATGATGATTTTTATCAAACTTGTATATTTAAGTTCAGTAATTTCACTTAAATAACAATTAATAGGTAATTATCATTGCCATTTAAGTGAAATTACTGAACTTAAATATACAAGCTTGATAAAAATGATCATTAAAGAAGAAAATTTCAAATGGCACTTAGAGGCTTTTGCATCTGAACTCTTCATATTCTGATTTACAGGATAACAAAAGTAGATATCCATTATCCCTCTGTAATTTTTTTCTCATCTAATATGTGAACACAATGAAAAAAGAATTTTGAACCTGGCTTTATCCAACAATCAGATTTCGTTATTTTTTTTAATATAAAAAATTACAGCTACATTACAGCTTCCGGCTACATCGCCCGTGACCTTTTGAACGTAATTACGTATTACGTGACGTTACAAACGCGCCTCACAGAATAGAGCTAGGCTAGCATTTGTCCTTAGAAAAGTTACATTTTTGGAATAAGCATTGAAATAACCGATCGTTTCGCATGATAAGACCCTTATTCATCGTCTGGTGTCGTTTAAAGACTTTAAAGATTTGAAGCTGCATCTGAAACTGTTATTAACTGTCGTTTGGACCTCGGTTGGACCTGGTTCCCAATGAAGTCCATTATAAGGAGAAAAATCCTGGAATGTTTTCATCAAAAACCTTAATTTCTTTTCGACTGAGGAAAGAAAGACATGGACATCTTGGATGACATGGGGGTGAGTAATTTATCAGCAAAAGTTTTTTCAAAAGTGAACTAATCCTTTAAGCAATGAGGTTTCTTTACAAATATAAATTAAGAAATTAGGTTTACTTCATTATTCAGTGAAACGATATAATATTGCGAATATTATTTTTACTTGTTTATCAGTGTGTCTGTGTTTTATCCGCTGATTTTAGCTAGCTTCCTTGCACAAAGAACACAGTGAAGAAGCACGTTCGTCCGCTCAGGGCTACTGTAGAAACATGTCAGCGCATTTCAATGTAAGGGGACCCGCGGTAATAAAACACAACGGATCATTAAGTAAGGTCTTTATACTCCACTGAACACATAGTTATGTATACTATATTGCATTATTACAAATATTACACAATGCACCTTTAACATGATTTAACGTGCATTAACTAACATTTACAATGTGTAATACATTTCTTAAGGTATTTGTGCATAAAAAAAATGTTTACTATTTTTATATCTGAAAATAATAAGAATTTTTTTAAAGACTTGTAATGAAAATTAACAGTTAAAAAAAAAAACCCTCGTCCAAACCATGTATTTACATTACCCAAAGACATTTTGATGAACCTACAATACTAATCTGTATTTTAGAGCAGACAGAGTGTGTAGCTTTAACTCTGCCTGATATCTTTTTGACTGTTGACATGAAACTGGTCCTCGTGTGCTGTAGTTTGATGTACCTGGTGCTCAGAAGAGAATGGGCTTCCCGGCAGTTTTCTCCTGGACGTAGGAAGTGAAGCGCTTGAGGAATTTGGGATATTCTCTCTTGGCCACGGCCCTCAGGACAGACGCAGGAGCCCAGCCGCCAGGATTCACTGACACAACAACAGACAAACGTCCAGTCAGCATTCATATATATATATATATATATATAATTTTTATGTTATTTCTATATTTTATTATCTATTTGATAGAGATTATATGTTAGAGAGTACCGTTGGCCACATATGTGATTTTGCACAGGATGTTGTCTCTGCTGATCTCTTTGTTGCCCTCTGGTGGACTGACCAGCGTTTGGCAGATCATCCCAATGTTGATTTTAGCACGCACACATCTGTTGTTTGGCTGCATGAAGACAAAAACAATCAAACAATGAGTCACTAACATTTACATTTGTTCATTTAGCAGACGCTTTTATCCAAAGCGACTTACAGATGAGAACACCAGTTAAACTAACAGTAGGACACAATATGCAAGTGCCATGACCCCTCTCAGTTTAATCTAATGCAGTACAGGTCCTTTTTTTTATAATAACAAAAAAATAGAAGAGAAAAGAAAGTGTTGGTATTAGTGGATCAAGTAACTTTGCAGCAAATGCAAAAAATCTGAATCAATTTGAAAGGTTTCCTGTCAACATAACCCTGTAAACTCAATGAACTGCTGCTTGGTTAATCATAAACATGCCGACTCAGCGGTTGCCATAGAGACCGACTCACCTGGGCATTTTCGTGGTCGACTGAGAAGTTGCAGACGAGCCACGTGTCTGGATCGTTCTCGTTATTGGCCACGATCTTGCGGATGGCAGACAGATACAGGACGTCTCTCTGGGACGCCGGCCACACTCTCTGCACGAGGAAAACACAACATGAGGAACTGCTCTTCCACTGAGCCCAGTGTCACTCACACACTCTTCTCACCTTATGAGTCTGGTAGATGATGACGGCGTTATCCGACAACGTTTCCACTACGCTGAAGTTTTCAACAGTAGCTGGAGACAAAAACGAGACCTAATATAAATGATGCCAGATGAGCTGCATGTAGTTCTGTGTGTGTGTGTGTATGTGTGTGTGTGTGTGTGTGTGTCTGTGTGTGTACTCACTCTCCCAATCGTTACGGACATCCGTGTCCCAGAAATAGTGGCAGACCTCATGACCTGTGACCCCTTTGACAGAGTGTGTGGCCTTCAGCGGGTCCAGCACAATCCCGTTCTCCTCCACCTCTCTCCGGTACACCTGACACACAGAGAGAGAACACACACACACACACACATTAGATTGAGTTTTAGACCCAGTTTTAACCTTATCAGGCACTTCTCAAAAGTGACTGATTCCAGTAGTTTGATCATCACAAGATGCTAAGCTAATGTCATGATGAGGCACAAACATACATAGAAATGATATTGTTAACAAAAAAACAAACTACATTTTTTAAAAACATTTTGAAATAAAAATAAATATAAATATTAGATGAAAACATTCAACTAACTGAAAATAAGAAATGTTGTTTTGAGAACTAACTGAAATAAATTAATTCTAAAACTAAAATAAAATAAAAAATATACATAAAATAATATAAATAATAAAAATAGAAAACAAAAAACAAACATCTAAACTAAAATTTAAAAAGAAAGCTAAAAAATATAAAAATAAAACCCAACTATAAACATCAACTTATAATAAAACTGAAATTATATATGTATATATATATATATATATATATATATATATATATATATAATATTAGTAAACTAAAACAAGTGTTGATTTAAACTAAAAATTAAAATGAAAGCTGAAAAAACTAAAAACCACATTAGTGAAAACCAAAACTGAAATAAAAAATAAATATTAAAAAAAAACTAATAAAAATGATAAATTAAAATGAAAGTCTGAAATCTAAAAATAAAACTGAATTTAAAACATTAACAAATGAAGAGCTCTTTTCCAAAACGCGTTAAACGACATTTTAAAAAAAAAATGAGTTTGTCGTGTCATTCTGCTGCGGACAGAACCCTTTCACTGCTCTATCAACGTTTCATGCCGAATCGCTATATTTCCTTGTTTAAAATGTAGTGCAAGATACAGTTTCTTTCCAAACCACGATAAGCGCCAGCCCTGTTTTTAGCCTAAACACGATAAATCCTCAAATTCAATGAGCGCTCTACACAATCCAGCACGGCGGCACTCTGAACAGAGGTTTATTATGTTCATTCATTCCTCAAAATGAGTCCTAGTTTTCTAGTCGACTAGAAGTAGATCATTTAAGCCATTTGTATGATCAGTAATCACATATATTGATTTAATTAAATGGGAGAGAAACCATATGAGCGTTTTTAATTGCATATTCCGCATCTCAACGTATGCATAAAGCTTGCCACAAAGAACCGGCAAAAGAAATGATTATGCATGAAACATTTGAATTGTTTATTAATAAACTAGTGTTTTCTGTCAGTGTCAGCAACAAAGATAAAGTTGATGATGCTTACTCGCCATCTTCGCAGTGAACGCGCATAGAGAAACGCATACTTCGAATTAGCCTACATACGCAGAGAGTTGCCAATTTATTTTAGTTTTTAATTGTTTTGTTTAAAAGTAGACATTTAAAGATTTCTGTAGCCTAGTTCTCAGGCCTGTGTGAGGCAAGCATCGCGGTGTTTCGGTTCATATTATGAGACGCGCTCCGGTTCACCTGCGCGCCTCTGTGTCCTGATTATATTGTCTGATATTTACTTCTAATGTATTAATCCAGTCAATTTGTCGATGAAACATTTATTAAAATGAAGATACAATTTATATGAAACGAAATTTACAAGCTTTCTACAAAACAAAACTTAATAAGTGGTCAAAATCATGTCTGACGCACTCCAAATATTTTCCGATATTGGGCAGCTTTTGAATTTTGATCCTATCTTACTCATCTCATGCGGTTCCCTTTTCATAGCCTACTCAACATAGATGAAATAATAAAAATAAGTAATGTAATATTATTAAAAACAAATGTGAAATGTTTATTTTGTTTTTTTGTTAACTTATATTTAAGCGTCATGGTGCTCCGCTTTGCTCACATGTTATGTAGCCTGTGTGTGTGTGTGCATGTGCTGGAGGGGTGCCCATCCCTTTTTTGAATATCGTTATCATATATTGATCATTTTTAATAATTCGTTTTTTTCATGCATATGTTGAAATTGGTATTAATAATTTGTTTTTTTCATGCATATGTTGAAATTGGTACTATTTGTTTGAGGTTTATTTCGATTTATAGCGTTTTGGAAAAAAATAAAATTAACTTTTAAATTATCATTAACAATATTGTTGTTTGATTTAATAATTATTGTTCAAAATGTTCAGACTGAACCAATAAAACATTTAAACAGGATAATTTGAATATTCACAAAATGTGTGGGTCTAGGTAAAAAATGTAGTTTTCCTGAAAACTATTGAAATGGATTTATAGCGTTTTGGAAAAGAGCTCTTCAAATACTAATATAACATGCTACCAAATACAAGCACAAATATTAGGGTAAAGAGTGTACGTTTAAATCATTTGAACTACTCTCTTTCCGTACGGTCACTGTTCTGTGCTGTGTCCTGTATGTGGCCGTACTGTTGAGCTCACCTTCATCTCTCCCTCCTCCACCACGAGCTGCCAGTTAGCGTCTCCACCCACATCCTGCAGAGAGTAGGTCATGTGATTCTTCACCATCTCCTCCACCTGCCCAAAACAAAGCACAACAAGAAGGTCAGAGGTCATGCCCTCATTTAAAAGGATCTAAATAAAGAACATTAAAACTGAGCAGTGAAACTAATGCACCAGTTACTAATTAAACGCATCAGCAACACTTTCTGAATTACTTTCATTAAATTGCTGGGTTTATTATATTATGACTGTAAACTTTATTACAGGCATTAAATTGCTGGGTTTAGAAAGGCTGCGTCAGATACAACACTAAATGATCAAATACAAATGACGAAACCGCTATTTAAAATGCGAGTATCAAATATGAACCATCAGGATTTTAAGGAACATTTGTCCATATTTCAAACATCATTGTCTTTCATTGCATTATATGTTTTGCCCTATAATTAAAACAAAAGAGCTTTGTTTGATCATAACCAAACATTAAATATGATCTTACTAAGACATTATTGGCTTAAGTATATACACACCAGTATAACTAAAGTATTACTACAACTACTTCATTTATTTACATAGTACAAACATGCAAACATTTTATTTTACACATAAGACCATGTGATTTAATAATGAAACCAGGAACATGAAATAAGAAAGCAAATTTGCTTCATTTTGATGTCATGGTGACTTAAAAAGCAAGATAGTTCCAGGAAATTACTGAATGTGGAAATTATGATTTCAAAAAGTATCATTAGCTATAATTTCAAAAAGCACAAAAACACACAAGGACAGAAGAAAATAGAGGTAACAAGGCAGACAACGTGGTTTTAATGTGGTGTAAATGTATATGCCCGCAAATAGCTGCAAATGCATCTACTGTAGTAATGTAACTTGTAATGAGTGCCGGATGAGTGTGCTAGAGGGCGCTGTTACCTCAGCACTGAATCGGTGCTCATAGAGTGAAGGAGTGAAGACTACAGCAGAAGATGAGGGAGAGGAAGGGCGAGAGAGGGGCTACACAGGTGAGGAAGAAGAGAGAAATGCAGCTTCATCAGGAGTGCAGAAATAAAGAAAATGGACTGAGACGACAGGGACACAGGAAGATGATCGTGATGAGAAGACCATGAAGAAGAACAAACTCACCTTCTCAGCGAATCGGTGCGAGCCCACGGTGGAGTAGGCGTCTCCTGAAGGCACTGAATTACTCCTCAGTATCCTGCTCTTCTCACACTGAGACTATAAAAACAAACACATGTTAATGATTACACACATTATTAACTTCCATAATGTGCCGTACTTCAAAGTGAAACTGAATAATCAATGGAAAATTAATTAGGGCGGAACTTGATTGTTTCCACTAGGATTTGCTTTGGATGGAGAAATGTTAATAATCATTTATTTTCCTTACAATTGAGCACACTGATGTGTCATGAGACATACTGAGATAATAAATCAACTATAAACTTTTTTCCATTTTCCATTTACATTTAAAAAGCTACTATATTTTACACTTACATTTGGCAGATGCTTTTAACCCTAAAACCGTATTCTGGACAAATGTGGGCAAAATAGTTTTAATTTATTTAAAAAAAAAAAAACTTCCCTTGATCTGAGTGGTACAAGACTTGGCTACTTTTCCAAAGTTTGCCTCCAGAACACACACATTTTTTTTTTACTCAATTCTACAATGTTAAGTGGGTGAAAAAAACTCCTTAATCTTGTATTTGGGTCAAAAATGGGCACCCATAGAAATGAATGGGGAAAACTATCATTTAGAGCAGGGGTTCTCAACTCCAGTCCTCGAGACCCACTGCTCTGCATATTGTGTATGTCTCCCTTATTTAACACACCTGATTCAGATCCTCAGCTCGTTAGGATAGCCGTAGAGTCTATCTTAACGAGCTGAGGATCTGAATCAGGTGTGTTAAGTAAGGGAGACATACACAATATGCAGAGCAGTGGGTCGCGAGGACTGGAGTTGAGAAACCCTGCTTTAGAGCATTCTAAAATAAGCCAAAATAAGACACCAGGTGACAGCAAAGTCACAGGTTTTAGCTCTAAGAACTTATTGGAATGATATTTTAATGTAGTTATAAAACATAAAACATAAAAAATAATTTGCATAGAAAATATGGTACTTTTTGAAGTAAATAAATTCAAAAATACCCCCAAAATAAAAAAACCCACTATAAATAGATAGACAAAACTTTATCGAAGACAGTGATATAACATTTATAATAAATAAAAATTCGGATCACACCTGAGTCCTCAGTGTCCACAATTACAGGATTAAGGGCTATAAAGTGAATACGGTTTGAGGGCTCCCCAAAGCAACATGTCATTTGGTTAATGTGTCCCAGATTAACATTGCAATCAGCAGTGTTTCTGCAGTTTTCAAAATCAAATTTAAGACTTTTGAATAAATCATGCATCTCAGATTCTAAACAGGCATGAGGCTAACAAATATTTATTTATTTATTTATTTATTTTTAAGAAATTTAAGGGTTAGTTCACCCAAAAATGAAAATTAAGCCATTAATTACTCACCCCCATGCTGTTCCAACCCCGTAAGACCTTCGTTCATCTTCGGAGCACAAATAAAGATATTTTTGATTGAATCTGAGAGCTGGATCAGTCCTACATAGACTGCCTAAGGGACTGGCTCTTGACGGCCCATAAAGTCATTAAAGAAAAGGTTTAAATATTCCATGTGCCTACAGCGTCTCAATTATAAGTTTATCAAGCGACGAGAATATATTTGTGCGAAAAAAAAACATAAATAACGACTTTATTCGACTACTCCATTACTTCCTTATGGGCGCATGCGCGAGAACTGAGACGAGGACGTTCTCGTTCGTCTACTTCTTGTTACCGGCTGCTCACCGCTTAGGAGTTTTACCGCCACCTACCGTATAAAATGATGATCCATATATAAGGCGCTCCGGATTATAAGGAACACTGTCATTTTTTGAGAAGATTAAAGGCTTTTAAGTGCACCTTGTAGTGCGGAAAATACGCTAATTGAAAAGCGTATGTACAGCGCGCATCTTCCTCTGCTTGTAAACAGAAAGTTTTGCGCTTCCAGCTATATCAGCACATCGTCTTATACGGTAGGGGGCGGTAAAACTCCTAAGCGGAGCAGCCCGTAACAAGAAGTAGACGAATGAGAACGTCCTCGTCTCAGTTCTCGCGCATGCGCCCATAAGGAAGTAATGGAATAGTGGAATAAAGTGTAGTCTCGCACAAAAAGTAGTCTCGTCACTTGATAAACTTATAATTGAGCCGCTGTAGGCACATGGAATATTTAAACCTTTTCTTTAATGACTTTATGGGCCGTCAAGAGCCAGTCCCTTAGGCAGTCTATCTAGGACTGATCCAGCTCTCAGATTCAATCAAAAATATCTTTATTTGTGTTCCGAAGATGAACGAAGGTCTTACGGGGTTGGTACAGCATGGGGGTGAGTAATTAATGACTTAATTTTCATTTTTGGGTGAACTAACCCTTTAATATTATTTATTTAGCAAGGAAATTTACTGGTTAAAAGTGACATTTATAGTTACAAAAGATTTCCATTTCAAATAAAAGCTGGCCGATTGAACAGAAGACAACACATGTGTGTCAGTACACTAGATCCGTCTTAAAGGGACAGCAGCCTGATATTACTGCTGTCTGTGTGTGTTTAATGTCAATCAAACAACAAAAGACAAGAAAATCACTCACTCCTCTTGGCTGAATAGCTTTTGTAACTTTAATAATGAAGATTATATGCAATGTTGTTTTACATTTGATTACTTCAATTACTTGTTTATTTTATTTGTAAATTTGCTCTATTGTATTCATTTATTTGTGTTGTTGCTTGTAGTTGAATTATTATTATTTATTTTTTTTTAAATGGATAGTCCTTTTTCCCCTGAACATAGCACATACCGAACCATAAAACCGTGATAAAAACTGAACTGTGAGTCATTTGAACCATCACACCACTAATAAACACACACATTCACATTCTGCATCAGAGCTGTCTGTAATAACACACCTGCTCTTCTATTTTGTCTTGTCTGTCCAGAGCGGCCTCCACGGCATCAAAGAACTCGTCTTCATTGATCAGGCTGTTCGGACCCTCCTGATGGACAGAACCAGAAGAACATCTTAATACGCTTCACTTCTGTTTTTAAGTTCCGCAGGCATTAGCGCACGTACAGAAACCGAACCCACCTCGTAATCGGGCCCTCCGAAATGAGACTTCTTCTTTAGCTCACTCAGAGCGGATTTATACGCTTCTTCCACCCTCCTCCTCTTCTCCATCTCCTGTAGAAGCATGAGACTTTAGCTGACTAAACACTCTGCTGCCGTAATGTTTAATGTCTTGGCTTGAGTAGATGTGGGCAGAGCGAGAGACTGTATAGGTGCAGGATTGTTGTGAAGCGCTCCATTGTTCTGATTGTAGATGTCAGTATTGTGCTGAATGCTGCTGACTGCGACACATTCAGCTCAATCTCTGTAACACACGCTCGCCACTTTCACACCTAAACCCACTAAAACTGCTTGATTAACTTCTCTGGCATAGATACCGCAGCGGTCATTCACAGAAACAACAGCTTTCCATGTTTATAAGCACACCATCACCAAAACGATGCTCAAACTCTCAGATATGATTTGTTTCGTGGAAATAAGCAGCACTTGCTGAATATGCTGAAGCAGCAGTATAGTGATTTAACATGGTAGTAAAAATTGGTTCACTTTATAACTACTAGGGCTGGGTAAGAAATATCGATTTCTCGATATTAATCGATTCTCATTTTTACGAACCGATATCGATTCTTAAATCTCAAGAATCGATTAGTCATCCTGTTTCATTTGAATGAATGGAACATTGTATCGCGGCTGCACGCATCCAAAAAAAAAATCACAATAATCTTTGTCCTTTGTTACTATTGAAATGAAAATATTGAAATTGAGTCTCAATTTTCAAATTACGTCCATTTTCTTTAGAAATTCAAAAACATAAATAACGTTTTGGCGCTGTGGCGTGAGATCGCTCTGGCGCAGCTCAAGAGAAGCAGCAACGCTGATCTCTCTTCCGGGTTAATAATACCAGTTACAGCGCGAAATAAACATGAATGAGCATCTGAAAGTGTGTTACAAGATAGAATACAACTTATCGAAATCCGTATCATGTCGCATTGATTCGCTCAATCAGCGTTTCAACCGAGGAAAGACGTCAGTTAAACAGCTTGTAATCAGTGTCATATCTTCATATTTACCTCAGAAAACCCACATAAACTCGTTAGTCAGCTAGAGAAAATAACTTTAAAGAGGAGCATTTAACTATACACCATATTACATATGCATTATAATCTTAATGTTCTTCAATATTTAATGCATATTTGAATAAATGGCAAGTTTTTATGACAGCCACCATTTAAATGTTTATATTTCATATAATCTTCTTACTAAAAAAATAAATAAAAGTGTAATTTAAGTGTTTGTATAGCTACAAAACAGTTCATTATTACCTTCATATTAGGCTAATGAAGCCTAGTAGGCTACAACTAGACTCCCATAGTTTACAGCATTAGTTAAGAGATTTGATTTCCTTGAGAAAATTTGCCATTTATTGTAACTGATATCCAAAATAATCAATATTGAATCGAATCAGAATCGAAATCGAATCGAATTGCAAGCTTGTGAATCGAAATCGAATCGAATTGTGAAATCTGTGTCAATACCCAGCCCTAATAGACCATTTCACAAGATGTAAACAACACTGGTCCAGAAGCACTTCCTGTTTGAGTTTGTAACTGTTTTCTTTATTTCACATGTAAAGAAAACATCTTAAAGATGTTTGTTTAACTTTTTGATTCAGTTTTAAATGTTCTGTTGGTTGTATTTTATCCCAGCTTTTATGTAGTGTTAAAAAACTGAAACAGGAAGTGCTTCTGGACCAGTGTTGTTTACATCTTGTGAAATGGTCTATAACTACAGTAGTTAAAACAGGAGGCTGAAATGCAGGTCTGAAAATCTGATGATATTTGCTGCATATTAATAAAACAATAGAGTCCAGTCACATTAGTCACAAAACATTCTGATTGAATCAAACTCTGACAGAAGACATCTTTTATCAGATTATTCTAGATTACACCAGTTTTATTTTAGAATTATTTATATAGAATTTATTAACATTTGCTAATTTTATCTTTTTATTTTCATTTTTTACTTTCATTTAGTTTAAGTTTTAGTATTTTTTAGTTTTTTTTATTTCAGTTAAAGTAATTACTTCATTCTAGTTAGAATAGTTGGAATAGTTGGTTTAAGGAAACATTTCTAATTTCAATTTGACACACTAGTCTGCACAAACTAGGCTGCAACGGCTGGCATTATTTTTATATGAAATCCATTTGAAACTGCAAGAATGTGAAAGGTCACACTGAAACTGAAGCTGACTATTGCTCTGGATGATTAGTTGATTGGTAGGAAGCCCTTTAGCATCAATACATAACATTTCTAGCAATCTTACAACTTCTGTAGCCGGTGAATTGCCAGGGCTGATGTGCACTGTGAGGTTTCGCTCTGTGATTCAGCCCTCAGGCGGTTGACATATTGCTGTTGTGATAGTGACTCTAACAGATACAACATCCCTCTCATGATTTTAGTAGCTCAAGGACGAGCTCCAGACATGTCTCGTACCTTATCCAGTCTCTTCTGCCAGCTGTCCTCTCTCTTCACCATCAGGTCGATGCAGTGAGAAAGTGTGGCCAAGATCCCCGCCGTGGTCGCCTTGAACGTGATGGCCTCTCCTTTAAAATCTATCCCATTAATGCCTTTATGACTCAAACACTGGAATACTGATAGGGAGAGAGAACCAATTCAGTTACACTCTTGTCTTTGGAGATTAATCTTAAAGACATTATTTTACTAGACAGGGTTACACAGTGTCCAAAGCAGGCACGATGTAATAAACATCAATCGAACTTGAGGTGCTGAAAGGCGCTTTATCAATAACAATAATACCGGTATTTATTATTACTATTATTATGAAGCGATAAAACAAAATCACTTCCATGTTATTCTTTTTATTCCTAACCACTATCAGTAGTTGCCCAGTTATATTTCAAAGTATTTTAGGTTACATTAATATGTACTGTATGTATTTTAATTATATATATATATATATATATATATATATATACACACACACTCACACACACTCACACATATATATATTTTTAATTAGTTGTGTATTTTAAATTCATATATTCATATATGTTTAATATATTAATATAAAATATATAAATGATTTAAGATGTATTTTTATACATACATATATATAGGCTGTGACTTTATTGCTTCACAATATTTTTTTTAAATAAAGACTTGGTTGGGACACGTTGCTGATGTGGTGTGATGGCCACATACAATTTAGCTATATCATTTTTCCATTAAAAAACAAAGCAATGCATAAATGCATAACTCACTGAAAACATCTCAAACGCAGTTCAAATGGAGAAATGCTGACTTTATGTTATAGGTTACACACAAATCATAACAATAGGCTCAAATTACTGGATCACTGGAGTAAATTAAATGGACAAACTGCTAAATTGTCAGTGCCGCCCCAGTACCGTGTCCTCGAGCTGAATCAGAGAGAATTGATTGAGCGTGAAACCTGCTGAATTTTCACAAACGCAGAAATCAGAATGTGCTCACACTCACGTTTCTCCTTGCTGCCATTATTGTTATGCAGGAATTCTCCATCCGAGCGAGTGGTAGGAAAATCATCTTCATCATCCTCCACGACTGAGATGAGAACACAAACACACACACAGAGAGAGTCAAAGTGAACTCATTGACCAGTGGTTGGTGGTGCCCAGATCGGCCCATTCACACACTGAGAGTCTACTGTAGACGCATACTGTACAGGGGAAGGACTAGGGCAAACAAAAGAGGCAGTTGATCATTTGTGTGAATCAACAGGCCCTTGTGCTGTAACAACAGATGCATCCAGAGAGAGCGAGAGGATCCGCACCAATGCAGACGAATCTGGATGTTGCCGCAGTCTGAATAAGACTTCAGCGTTGTCTAATCATGCAGAATCACTCCAACGCTCCGTCTACTCACTCTTGTCCCTCTGGAGCTCGTCTCTGTGAACAGCATCAGCACAGCCGTCGAAGTACTTCTGGAGCGTGTCCACCTGCCTGCACAAGATGTCCCGAAACGTCTCCATCTCGGACAGCTTCTCCCGCAGACTGTGGCCCTTCTGTGGGGCACATATGCAAACTTATTTGACTTCAGATTAGAGATATTTATCATCTATCAGCAGTGATGTTTTTTTTATTGGCATCGATCAATATTGGACATTTGGTTTGTGTTCTTCTCTTACCTTAAAGGAGGAGGTGGAGGTGGCCGAGTATCCGCTGGTGGCAGACGTGAGGGAAAGCATTGATCCATGTCTCCTCAAACTGGACTCGGAACCATAACCAGATTCAGCCTGAACACAGACACACAAAGATAATGTGATATTCAGAGGCACTTTCACTTTAGTTCATCTGACAACAGAGTTAAATGTAAAAGCCAGGTTCATCTGCAACCTGGCACCACTTGCAGAATTTGATGACAACAAGCAGCACTATCGACCTAAAAGTGGAGCAGTGAATGCCTTGTGCATTGCAGCTTAAAAAAATGCAACTGGTCGACCAATAAGAATGTCAGTCGACCAAGACGGCATCGACTGATTAGTCGACTAAAGTTGACAGCCCTATTGGCATCGATAAGAAATGTCTCTTGAGCAGCAAATCAGCATATTATACTGATTTCTGAAGGATCATGTGACCCTCTCCTAATAAGTCATTACCTCAGTGCCTTATGCTACGTTCACACCCGACGCGAATAGCGCGTCAGGCGCGAATGATTTCAATGTTAAGTCAATGCAAAGACGCGTTACGCGCGTAAAAAATTCCTGGGGCGCGAATGAGGCGTGGAGTGCAGCGCGGAAGACGCGAATATGCCTTGTTCGTGTTGAGCGTCTGGCGCGTTAAGCGCAAATGATTTAGTTAGTGCCATTTGTGCATTCACGCGTTTGACGCGAATTCGCTTCTGCCGCCCGAGTTGAAAAATCTGAACTTTGGCGTGAATTCGCGCCGCATTAACCAATCAGGAGCCAGCTGCTTGCTCACGTGGTGAATTGTCTGGATGCTTCAATAAATTATTTTGAAATATGACTAAATGCCTGGTGTGGTTCTAATGCACAACAAAGCAAATATTTTATCACTTAAAACATTATTTCTATATACGAGACATGTTCATTTTGTATTGAATGTTATTCATTCCATATCTAGATTATATGAAATAGTATGTAAAGACAATCAACATGTGCATAAGTTCGTGTCTGGACGTGAGAGAGAAAAAAAAAAAAAAAAAAATCACAGGACAGGTTAATAACTTTTGGAAGCTGGCTCTTTTTATCATCAAAACAAAAATAAATGACAGCTAGATTAGGTGGATGAGGGAGAGGCTGATCCTCGCTCCGATGCGGGACAACAGGTCATCAAACTGGGCGCGGGTCAGGCGGAAGTACCGCTGACAGCGGCCGTCATCCAGGCGCAGCTCATGGAGCGAGCAAATGGTGAAACTAGCCAAACGGTTCGCCTCCGAAGGGTCCGGTGGACACAAATACGGCGACGATGATCCAAACGCCGCTGTTCTAGCTCTCCAGAGCAAATACAGTGCGGTGAATCTCTCGATGAATGCTCGATCAACGTAAACAAAGATGGCCGTCAAAGGGGTTCGGTAAATTTCGCTTCAAACTTTTTATTTTACCCGCGTCAGTTTCACTCTTGACGCGCGAATTAACACAAAGTGGTCAAGTGTCATGCTAGACGCGGTAGACGCGCTATTCACGTTCGGTGTGAACGTAGCATTACAAGTTGTAAACAGCTGATGATAAAGATGATACTCTAGCTTTGAAACGTACTGTGGTTCAAAACTAAATAAATACATAATCTGTGAGGAAGAGGGGTGGAATCACTCTCAATCAATATTTAGATCAAACAAAAACTATAATACGAGATTTACGCTGATATTTACACAGAAAACCTCAAATATGACACTTTAAAAACAACATACAGTCGTGCTCAGAATTAATGGCACCCCTGGTAAATATGATGAAAACTGGCTGTAAAAAATAATTCTGCATTGTTTATCCTTTTGATCTTCCATTCAAAAAAATGGCAAAATTCTAACCTTCCATTGAAGCAAAAGAATTGAAAGTGGGGGTAAATCACACTATGAAATAAATGTTTTTCTCCAAAACACTCTGGCCATAATTGCTGGCACCCCTAGAATTTTTTATGAGAAAAATATCTCTGAAGTACATTCCCATTAATATTTATTTTTTTTAAGCAAATCAGGGTGACTAGGAACATGAAATTGTCCAGCTATGACTTCTTGTTTCAAGGAGTTTAAATATGAGGAAGCACAAAGGTCAAATTCCCTGAATCATCCATCACAATGAATAAAACCAAAGAACATGGTTCTGATGTGCATCAAAAGATTGTTGAGCTTCACAAAATAGAAAGTGGATGTAAGAAAATAGCTAAAAATTGAAAATTCCCATTTTGACCATCAGGACAATAATTAAGAAGTTATAATCAACTAAAGATGTTATGATTCTGCCAGGAAGAGGACGTGTGTCTATTTTGCCTTAATGGACGGTGAGGATGAAAGTTTGAGTGTCCAAAGACTCTTCAAGGATCACACATGGAGAATTGCAGAGATTAGTTGAGTCTTGGGGTCAGAAAACCTAAAAAAAAAAATATCAAAAAAAAAAAAAAAATATGACCGTCCCAGACCCTGACCTGTTGAGTGGAGTGAACTGAAGAGATAAAGCACCAACATGGATCTGGGAATCTGCAGGATCTGGAGAGAGTCTGTATGGAGGAATGGTCTCTGATCTCTGGTCAGGTGTTCTCCAAACTCATCAGGCATTATAGGAGAAGACTCAGATCTGTTATCTTGGCAAAAGTTTACAGATCTGAGGTTGCAAAAAGTTTTTAATAACAGGGTGCCAATAATTATGGCCAGAGTGTTTTGGAGAAAAACATTTATTTCATAGTGTGATTTACCCCCACTTTCAATTCTTTTGCTTCAATGAAAGGTTAGAATTTTGCCAATTTTAAAGGTGCAATGTGTAACAAAGTTGAGTATCTATTAACAGAAATGCAATATGACATCCATAACTATGTTTTCAGTGGTGTATAAAGAACTTACTTAATTAGCCGTAATGTTTTTATTACCTTAGAATGAGACATTAATAGCTCCATAACCGAGGGAATCCCCTTCTATGAAGGTCGCCATGTTGTGACGTCATATTCCTACCGTAGCCGAACGCGAACAAACAGCGCTACAGAACGCGTTTCATCACTACCTTGAAAGAGAAGTAGCGGAAAGCTGGAAGCTAGCCTTACACTCCGTGAGTAGTGACTTTTCCCTTGTGAGTGGTGTAAAATATGTAGTTGGGATTGTTTCATGTAACTTAGTTCTCCCTCGCTGTGTTATGGGTTTGTTATGTTGGGGATAGATGTGCTGTTACGTTCGTGAGACAGCTGATGATTAGTATTCATGTCATTGACCGTAAAACAGTACGTTACAGGAATCACTAACCCGTCGATAGAGACTTTTAGATCACTAAAGTCGATCACGAAGAGTTTTCAAAATCAGAGAAAAAAGCCTATTGTGTGTAGTAAATAGTATCTATGGGATGCGAAGATGACATGATTGTAACAGCGCGCGCACTTCCGACCTTTGGACTCATGCAGACGCGTCCCAGCTCAGCCACAGTAACAGCTCATATTAGCCAGCTAAACTATTACTACCCTGTTAGAAAAAATATATAGCTGCTCCCTCGCTGTATTATGGGTTTGCTACAGTATGTGTGGAGAAATGTGCTGCTGGTTACGTTTGTGAGACAATCAGCTGATTATTATTATTATATTAAATTATATATTAAAACCCTTGATCCTCACCTGACTATGGCTTTGTAAACAGTATTCATGATGTGGTTTATAATGGACTGTGGTACAGAAACAGTGACAATGTTACACACTCTTGGCTTACTCTGGCTATTCTCTGCTGTCTCAGCCGACCAGATGTTTGTCCCGTTTTAGCAACCGTAGCTTCTTCGAAAGGGAGGGGTGAGCAGTGGGCTGAGCCCTTAGTGCAAACCTGGTGCAAACTCGCAACCGAACCACTAGATGTCGCTAAAAGTCACACATTGCTCCTTTAATGGAAGATCAAAAGGATAAACAATGCAGAATTATTTTTTACAGCCAGTTTTCATCATATTTACCAGGGGTGCCATTAATTCTGAGCACGACTGTATGTGTATGATGTGTGCGAGTGGTTGACCTGAACAATTTCCACTTCATCTTCAGGGTTCGTCACTCACACACAGACAGAAAGCACAGAGAGTCACTTTCCATGAACTCAGATCTCTCCTGTGGCTCATCTCATGAGTAACAGCCTCTTAAAAGACTTTTTTTAGTAGCATAAACACACACAATGACTGTCTCCCCATGAGGCTTTGCCCAGAACATGATGGTACAAGCCCAGGTTATTGTATCTTTCCTCCAGATGAACTATTTTGACCTCTGTACCATGTACCTAATCTAGTCGATTTGAAAGAGGGGACGATGAAATCCCTTTCCTGTAGATAAGAAATGCCAGTAAATACACACAACTTTACAGTCACAACAATCTATTTTTAAATAAATGTACTGTCAGAGTAGATAAGAGTCAAAAACAGTGTTCAGTAAAAGTAGTAGTAGTAGTAGCATTTGAGTTTATTGCCATTTCAGCATTACCGGCTAAATGGCAGATACATGTTAAACATTTAACGCCATAATATAAAGTACAATATAATGAAAACAAACTTAGACAAAAAAAAAAATAATAAGTACACATACAAATTGAGTTAAATTCCATAAAACATTATGTCCTTAAAAGCTTTAGCCTTCAGTGAGATGCGATAAACAGATTTTTTTTTCTGTTTGGGATTGCATCTATTACTATAAATATTGCTTAAGAATACAAGTCCACTTTTTCATATTCTCTGCAACAGAGCATTTTCAAAACTAGTATATGAAACAATTAGTGATGCACAATTGGCGATTGAATGATGAACACGCTGTATCATGGGATACATTTTGTAGTATAAAGTATGCTACACTGAATATACACACTGTTTTAGTGAGGGCTTTAACATTGTCCTCCACTAGATGGCAACAGTGAGCTCAGTCTACGGTCGAGTGGGTTTAATCTGAGGTAACTATCGGGTAGAACTAGAGATAACCATTCAGGGCCAGTCCTGCGTTCACTCCAGCCAACCAATCACACTCTTACTGTGACTATGACATTGATTATCCCTCAGCTGACCATTCAAAAGTCAAGATTGAAGAAAAATACTGGCCGTGTCTAAGTTACACAATCAATAGC